AATTATTTTTATATAAGTGGCACAAAATTTTCTCAAGACATAAAAGTTTTATGAAAAGAAATTCAAATTTTGAATATGACCTAAATACATGGTTTGTTGTAAATTTTTACCTTAGGTAATGCAAAAGTCTCATAATATGACCAAATATATTGATTTTGAAGGCTACATTCTTATTTACATTTGCACAAAAGAGAACCCTATTATCTTTACTTGAATTATATTCAAAAAAGCATAAAATTGTGTGGCTAATATCACAATATCACTGTCCATATTATAGTATAAAAGTGCAATAAGACTTCTTGTTGCTTATTATAAAAACAGGAATTACTATAAAATTTGCATTTATATTAAGTTTAATTTGATTTAAATTTCAATTAGTTTTTAAAAAAGGCATGTACATACATACACACTAGTTTCAGATACATACATACTAGTTTACGGACAAATGCACTGCCAGGTGAGATATACTTTCTCTCCAGTCTTTCCCTCATTGCTATCAAAAATACTGTTTTTTCCATATTAGCCAGAAACAAGTGAAAATGGAAAATTCAGCATAAATATTTAATATTACTCAGTGTTATTCAGTGCTAATTTTCTCCCAATGATTTATCTATTTATTTTCATTTAGAAAATGAATAGATTCATAAGATCCTTTATAATATATATCCCATAAATTTGTTGAACATGCAAAACAATAGAAAAACCTTGCAACTTTGTTGGAAACTTTCTATTTTCATGGCAAATCCTGACAGCAATAAAAACCGTAATGCAAAGCACTTACTGTTACCACAGTCCTCTTTAATTCACGTGTCTGTCCCTTCCTTAGATTCTAGTCCAAATATTCTGGTTTATATTTTCCATCTTCTTCACTTCTTGTGGTGTTTTAACTTAATCCTCATTATTTCTTCAGATTTGGCTTCTCAGATATGTATTTCATGTTCAGGAATCTTCAGTGCAAGATATAAGTATATTATATGTGATTATATTAAATAGCTGCATATCTATGGAGATTCTCAGTCATCCAGTTTACGGTTGTCCCAAAGGTGCTTTTTCAGACATTCTGAAGTGAAGAAGCTTCTTGGATGAGAGGTGAAACATCTTCAAGGAAAAACAAAATCCATTTGCCTTTTGAAATAGCACCTTTGGGACATTATATTAAATAGTTACAGAGATCACGGATTAATGTACCAATCCAAATATCAGCAAATACAGTAGCAATGTAAAATAAAGTTTTAACAAATTTAGAACAAAACTTAATTTGTGATATTGTCCCAACACATGCTACATGGGTTTCATACTGGCATGTTGTTAGTTATGCCAGCTCATATTGTTACTAAGGAAGAACATTCTCCATGTCTGTAGGGAGCTTAGCCAGAAACAATCCAAGCCTTATGACTGCTTGTTGTTGTTTCAAAAATGGCAAAGAGTTTCTTGAATTGTGATGCCCTTGTCAATTCTGTAGTCTGAGCTGAGGCATCTTTGTTTATATACAAATGTAAATCTTAATTTTGTAGTGAAGAAGGTACTGAAATGCCTTGGCATAAAAATAAGAAACATTAGAATAATATAAGAAAACATTTGGTATTTATATTAGCTGAATAAATATTAACAAAAGATGAAAGTGTGCAATTTGTAATGGATTATATACAAACGTGCATGCAGGCAAGTTGACACAATATGTTGCAAATAAGCTATATGACAGAAATGAAAGCACATTACACCCAATTACATAACCACACAGCAACATTTTACACCCAAAAACATAAAGTTCCTACAGTTCTTTTCTCATTGCATACACGTATAGCCTGGTTCACAAAATATCTGGTTTATTTGGTTTCAGTTTATTGGGAAAAATCCACATTGTGATTTATAAAGCAAACCATGGTTTAGCGTGATCATGTCTATTATAATTTCATCAGTAAATGCCAATATGCTGTCTTAATATCATTTTGTAAAGAGAAAGCAGATTCCGCCATCAAATCTCAAATCTATCAAAAAATTATATGAAATGTTTCCAGATGACAGGTTTCTAATTCTACAAATCAAAAAAAAAAAGTGCAAATACTCATTTTACTCCTTTTTCATGAATGTTCTGGAGAAACAGAAAAAAGAAAATCAAAGCAACCTTTGGGTCCCTAAAAAATATGTAAATAATGTATACTTATTACACATTAAATAAAAGTCTCTGTCCAATGAATGCAATATTTTCTATTTTAGAAAGAAATATTGACTATATGTAGAAATATACAACATACTTGTTTGCAATATTTTTCCATTTTACCATAACATCAGATGTATAAATATTATCAAATGCAGGACAACTGGTACATGTTAGATTTCGTTAAAAAGCTATAATTCAGTCAGCTTTTGGGAAAATTTTATGAATTTCAATCTGAATATTCTTTACAAGGTTGAGTCTTTTTGCCAAAGTTCCTACTTGAACAAATTGTTTTTCTCTTATAATACACAGATTCAAATTGATAGCAGTTATGGATTGTTAGGTGCCTATCAATTTGGAAATAAAAAATAAGGAAGTTGTAGATGCCTTTTCCTGATTACTTGTTCAATTCAGTCTTGTATAACTAAGCTATTTTGAAACTATTTACATGTACATAGTGTTGATTACCTTTTCTTGAACCCACTCAATTGTCCAATATTTATGGGGTTCTTGATGCTTCCTAAACTGAATAGGGAAGTGACAAATGACCAAAAGTAAAAATAAAGGACCCAAAAACAACAACAAAGGAAGTCAAAACATTTATTAGAAGCAATCCAATTGGGAGCTGTTCAGGGGCTGTGGCAAGGGGTCAAAGCAAGAATCTCCTGCCCTTCAACAGATTCCACTAAAAAAAATACAAAAATTAATCCAGAATGAATGCATATGTTTATGTAAGAGAAGAGGAGAGGAAGAAGAGGGAAGTAGGGAAGAGAAGAAAGAGAGAAAGAAGGTAGAGAAGAAGGAGTGTGGATACAGTGAAAGGGGAAATTGGCGAGCAACACCAAAAGTCATGTGTATGTATTTATTTCATTATGAATGTAAAAAGAATGTATGTTAACATCTGATAAATATCACGGTATATGTATGGGGGAGAGTTTGGAAAAATAAAAAAATTATTAAAAAAAAAGAATGCATATGTTTATGTACAGGTAATCCTCAACGTAACAACTACAATTGGGATCAGAATTTCCACTGCTAAGCAAGGCAGTTGTTAAGTAAGCTGAGTCCAATTTATGATCTTTTGCCATAGTTAAGCGAATCACTTCAGTTATTAAGTAAGATGCAGTCCTTCAGCGAATCTGCCATAACCCATTGACTTTGCTTGTCAGATTCCAGTTGGGAAGGTTCATAAATGGCAATCACATGATCCTACAATGCTGCAACCATCATAAATAGATGCTGGTTGTGAAGCCCTTGAATTTTTATCACATGACCAGGGGGGATACTACAATGGTCCTAAGCATGGGCCACCATAAATCCCCTTTTCAGTGCTATGGCAACTGTTCAGATTTTCCAAGGGTACCTAAACTTACAAGTAATTTTATTGCTGTTGATATAGAGTAGGGGTCTTCAAACTGGCTGAGGAATTCTTAGAGTTGAAGTCCACAAGTCATAAAAGGGCCAAGTTTGAAGACCCCCGATATAGAGATTGCCTGTTTTTTTTTCTACCCACAATACTAAACAATTTGTACAAAGGGAACTTTATATATTTTTAAGTCCCCTCAAAAAAACTACATGAATGATTTTTGTCTTTGTAGGTAATGCTCATACTGTGCCAGTCTGCAAATTTAATAATTCTCCACTTACCTAAAAAGGGAATCTATTACAGACATGGCTTCAACCTCATAGATACACATTTATTGTATTAAAACAACTGGGTTCACTCAACACAATAAGATCAAACCAGATGATATGCAAACCCATTTAACATCTCCTTCTGATTCCTTGGATTTCTTTTTAAACTTTAGAAACCACTCCCATTCAGGGTAAAGGAGTAACATCCTGGCTTCTAGGAGCTTTCTACCACAATACTATTTATGTAAGGGTATACTGTTTCCTACTAGAACAAAGTTGTTGGAAAATCCATGATGGCCCAGCTAAAGTTGCCAAAGACAGGTGGGGACTTACCCATTTCCCACCATTTTTATGCTACATGTAAGTGCAGACCCTAGAAGGGTCTTAGTTTTGTAGCGCTGCTCTACGTGTTATCTATTTCAGCAGGAAAAGAGTTAACTCGAAATAGTTTCCATGTTCACGTGACACCGTTGATTTAGAAATACCCCCTCTGCTAAATAGGTTACAGAATTCACATGACATCAGCTAACCTTCCTTGACTCGGTTGAAAGTGTGAAAACAGGGCCCTTAACATAAATAGCGTGCAAGGATATTACTCTTTTCCCCTGAATGGGAGTTGTTTCTAAACTTCGGGCCTTGAGGGAATAATTTCCACATCATTTAGTCTGCTCAGGAATCCTTGCGCACCCTTAGGATTCAGGGTTATTTTGGAGGATGCTCAATTCAAAGCAAGTATTCACTGGTATACACCACAAATACGTATGGCTCAGTTAACTCCTGTGTAGCAACTGCCACCAACTTCTCAGAGTTGTGATAAGAGTAATAAAAACAGCTACGCTCTTCATTAGGTTTTGCATTATCACGGGTGGACTGTTTTTGCGTGGGGATTGTGTTTTGTTTTTTCCTAACGTAGGACACTTTCGACAGCATAGGAAAGCAAGGGCATTATCTTTTAGCAATGGAGATGTCCGGAGCAGCTTTTTCTGGGAAGCGAACGGACATACCACACCCCCCCCCCCCGGAGCACGAGGAGACCGCTCCTTCCTTTTATAAACCGCCCGCCTCAACGTAAAGCTTGCCGGGCTTCTTGCAAGCTCAGTCGCGTCTGCGCGCCTGCTCGCGAGATCTCGAAGCTTGGTTTTCTTCCTCCACAGCAGAAGAGTCGGGGAACTTTCCTAGCCGTCCAGCTATCCGTCCGCCCACGGAGAAGCAGTGGCTTCGTAGGCCCGCCCATCCCCGCTTTCAGCCGAGCGTCAGTTTTATAACCCGCCATCTGCCTCAAAGCACTTCTCCGTCGCGAGGAGACGGAGGCAGCAGCCCACCGGGCGGATGCCTTCTTCTTCTTCCTCTCCGTCCTCCCTGAGACGACGAGAGTAGGGCGCTGCTGGCTGGGTCGCCCTGCAGGGGAAAGCGGAGCCACGCTGAACCGCGGCCTCGCTCTTTCTCTGAAAGGCGCTTTAGCCAGCTGAGGCTCCCGGCGGCAACGCCGCAGACAACCTCTACCCCGAAGCACGCCAGAGCCGGGCCAGCATCCGCGAGCTCCAGAAGCAGCGCCCAAACACTGCTCCGCCCTCGCCGGGCCAGATCCCTCCCTGCTCGGGCAGCGGATGCTTTAAAGACTCGTCCCCGAGCCGCGCGGCTGTTAAGTGATTGGCTGCCGCCGGCCTGCTCTTGTTCTTGTTCGCTCCTTGGCGCCCGGCTTTCGTTCGCCTCAGGGGAGCGGGGGGGGGCATAAGCGGAGGGCCCAGCGGAGGCTGACTGGCCCGAGGTAGCAAGGCGTTACACACGTGTCACGACTGCGTTGGCTTATTCAGACTGAGACAGGGAAAGTGTAGGTCTGTGTAGAATCGGCCAGTCGGCTTCCTCCTCCCCTCCGCGGTCCCCCAGGGAGCGCTGTCGCCTTGACGGCAGAGATACGAAGCGTGTGGCGTTGCTGCTTCCAGCCGTCCCTGAGACTTCGGGAGACGGACCGAGGGTGGTCCTTGTCTGTGGGGACGTGAGGTAAGAGAAAACGGGAAGCAAAGGGACGGGGGAGTAGCGGGGATGGAGATCCTCCTCCCAATAGCTCTTCCCTTGTCTCGGGTTTCGAGGAGTGGGACCCCATAGGCGGAGGGGCTAGAGGGGCCAGTAGCTGCGGAGCATCATCACCTGGCGCGGCGGCGGCGCTATAAGGACTGGGGCGGGGTAACCGGGAGGGAGGGGCAGGGCAGGGCCGCGCGGTTATCTGCCTAGGAAGTCCGGCGTGCTGCCTTGCTTTTTCTCGAAGGCGGCGGAGTGGAGCCCTGCAGCAGCGGGGCGCCATTTGGTGGTTTAAAGCGCCCCGAGCGGCAGCCGACTGTGTTTGTTTGCTCGGTTCCTAGAAACGAAAGGACTTCATTGAACCAGCCAGAACCGCAAGAAGGTCTATTTCGGCCCGCATTGTCGCCACCCGAGGAGAAGCAGAAACCATGGAAGCAAAGCCTGTGCAGCAAGCTTCGCGAGCTTCGTCCCCGCCGCCCCGCTCTGGCTCGCCGAAGCTCCAAGCTGCAGCGGCAGGAGGAGGAGCCGCCGATGCAGCAGCATCCACGGGAGCGGTGGAAGCATCTCGTCTGCCGGCGAGTGACGGGGATGCGACGGCTGGCACAGGCGGCTCCTCGTCGGACCCCGGGAGCGGATTGGCTCCTGCCTCTGCAGCCGCTGGAGATGGGCTGTGCAGACCTCTGGGTCCCACACCCAGCCAGAGCCGCTTTCAGGTGGACCTGGTGGCAGAAAACTTGAGTCGTGCGGCTGTGGCAGAAGAGGCGAAGACCACGGAAGCGACTCCCGAAGTTCCCGGTGATGGGCATAAGAAAAGCAGTGAGGAAGCAAAAGGTCGGTTCCGGGTGAATTTCGTGGACCCCTCCGCTGGAGATGACAGCTCTGATGAACCTGGAGGTGGGGGCCCAGAAGGCTGCAGCGTCAGCTTCCAGAATGGTGGTGACACAGTTCTGAGTGAAGGGAGCCTACATTCCGGGGGAGGCTCAGGAGGGCACCATCACTACTATTATGACACTCATACGAACACGTACTATCTGCGCACCTTCGGCCACAATACCATCGATGCCGTGCCAAGGATAGACTATTATCGGCATACTGCTGCTGGTCTAGGAGAGAAACTTATTCGACCCAGCCTTGCAGAGTTGCATGATGAGCTGGACAAGGTGAGTGATGGTGAGCAAGTAAAGAACATGTGGTAACCCCATTTGGAATAAAAAAAAATGGGGCATCAGGCTGACACAATGTTGTGCTGACAGTATAAAAATAGAAAAATACTGTGTTTTTCTAAACTAGATGAGTTTTATCTAAAAACTGAAAAGGTATGTTTTCTCTGCATGGACTTCAGCTTTATAGATATGCATTGCAAATATATTTGCTTTCGTCTTTCTGTCTTATGTTACATATTGTCTCATGTTTGTGCACCTTTTATATGGAGGCAATATACTTTATAGGTCTGTAAAAGTTAATGGAACATTAGAGCAGTACTTGTTGACTTTTCATTTCCTCCTCTCCCAAATTTCTTAAGTTCATTTTAGGATTTGACATGGGGTTAAATAGTTGCCGAAATCTGAAGAATGAAACAATGTAAAGTCTCTGCATGGTGTAACAACAACCAAAGGCCATCTTGAGATAGGCCAGAAGAAATCCCTTTATCTCCATTTTATATCAAGAATCCATATTAATATTCTTCCCTGGTTTTCTCTGTGCTTCGATTATTTACTGATGCCAAGTTCTTTGTCAGTTCACTGGCCAGACTTACTGCAATGTTGATGGATTTATAAGCTGTTGATAGATATATAAACTATGTTTGACAGACTGTTTTCAGAATAACATAACTTTTCAACTTTTGCATAAATAATTTAATAATACAGGTTGCTTTAAAGTTGCATCTTCCCAGTAGGTCAGAAAACATCCATATGTTATAATATGATGAAAGGAATTTAAACTCAGTAGCTTAAGTACTTCCAACTGTGTGTAGATATGAAACATATTTAAAGAGTTATAATTCATTATGCATTTTATTAGTGCTTATTTATATTGTAATTGAAAGTTTTGATAACTTTCTGAGCTCTGTCTTTCTGAAAAGTGCAACATACCAGTTATATGGTGATAATTAGCGTTTAAAAATATCTGTTTGGTAAATCTATGTCATGAGCCATTGTTAATATTTCTGATTTTATTAAAGAATTAAGATTTCCCAAACAAAATTGCATGTTGAAGCTAAACTATTGAAAATCTGTTTGATGAATTAGTATAAAGATTATATAGTTGGTTGAAGCAATATGTTAAATGTTAAGAGTAAGGTGAATATACAGTGGAAATCTGGTTTCTCTTAATGGCATTAACAGCCTTTTGAAGATAGAAACATCTGTAGCTGATAAGGAAAAAAATCTGGCATGATGAATGTTGAACAGGTATTATACTGCTCCAAAATCTACCTATTGCAGATAAAGTTGCACTTTTATCTACCGCTGCAGATAAAGTTACACTGTTACAGGAAAAGAGCATTTATATTCTACTAATATAATTCTTCCATACTACACTAGTAGTAAGGAAGAATTATATTAGTAGAATATAAATGCTCTTTTCCTGTAACAGTGCAACTCTGTTAACTTCAGAATTCATTGAGTTGGCTTGGAGCTTAGGGTAGACCTATCAAAATCTATTAGTCTTAAGTATTATCTAAATTAGATTTCAGTTTTTCAGGAAGTATATTCTAAGCATGGCAGTTTGACTCTAAATGCATAGATTATATTTATGGAAGAAGTAGAGTAGTTTAACAGTCTTAGATAAATGAGCATTGTCCATTAAAAGTATATGATTGCTTTTTAGCAGAAAAATTGCTACACATTTATAAACAGTTTTAAGATGGGCAGAATATTCTACAAGAATGTAAATAAATGTTTATTAGTTTAAAAATTGAAGTTAATGTAAATGATTCTGCTTAGAAAATGGTTATTTTTATTATCTTTCTGTGTGAAAAATTCATGTAGCTTTCGCATCAAGATATCTTGCAGTATTAAGGAAATACTCTAGAGTTGTGATTATGTTGGTTATGCGAGGGCAGCCTGCCCTATAGAACTACATGCAAATGTGGCATGTTTGAGAATTACTGGCAGGTCATGTGCTGAAATGTTAGCTGGATGGTTCATTATAACTTACCTGGCTAATTATCTAGTAACTTAACATTAAAAGTAACCAATAGAAAATGTGAAAGCACAATAGATAGCCAAAGAAATATATCTAATGAAATCTTATGCCAAGCTGAAGAGCATCAATTCAGTTGGTCACATTGGTTCTGCATTATTTTATATCTTTTTAGAAATTGATTAAAGTGAGGAATCCCTTCTTTGAAATTGGTTATTCATATAGCACTAGTTCAGGTGCTTTATGATATCAAATCAGTTGACGTTATAAGAAGGTTCAGCCAAAACTACTACATCCCATCTCCCAGTAGCAGATGCATTAATCATCTTGGCAATCATTCTGGCTATGCTGTAGTGTGTGGAGTGTAATCCTGTCAATAACATTTTATGTTAAAATTTAAATAAAATATCAATTTCTCATTTCTTAGAATATTTTAAAGTTGACCTATATTATTTGGGCAGATGAAGAGTGGTCTACTTTTTTATTCAGATAGTATTATTTTGGTTATGTATTGTGTAAAACTAGTGAGTCGGGATTAAGAATAGAATGGCTTAATGTATTAACATATTTACTGGTTGTAAAAACTTCTGAATGATAGATGCAGTTTAAAGATGTCGTCATGTTGATTGTAACTAATGTACTTGGACTGAAAATACTGGTGCATAAAGACTGGTTTGATGAAAACCATAAGACTGTTTCAGCAGCACTCCAGGTTAAGAACAAGGCCTACACAGACTGGCAGAATGAACTGACATCTATCTCAAAGAAAGAAAGGCAAGTTTAAGCACCTACAGAAATGCAGTATGAGTGGTGGCAGAGAAAGGCTGAGCAGGTGGAACATTGCCACCAAAATTATTCATCATAAAGTCAAGATGCTTCCCTTTGCTGTCATCTGATTGGCTGAGCTTGATCAAAGATCAGGAAGAATTGAAAAATCACTAGGCTAAACAATTTTTTAATCTACTCAATAGGTTATCCACAATTGATCCTGATATCTTATAGCAGATTCCTCAGCTGACAGTTTTGAATGTCCTAGACCCGCTTCCCTCTACTAATGAGATCAAAGTGATCTTGCAGATGAACTCAAATAAAGTAACAGGGCAGATGATGGTATTCTTGTTGAAATCTTTAAAGCTTTTCACCTAAACACTGGAAGTTTTTAAGAAGAGACTGGACAGCCATTTGTTCCAAGGAAGACATTTAGTTGGAAGACATTTAGTTCACGGAGGAGATGCCTGATGACTTCTGTGATGCCCTCATAGCTATCTATAAAAATAAGGGAGGTTAAATCAAACCATGGAAATTATAGGGGTATCTCACTGCTGTCCATTGCTAGATTCCCCCCCCCCCACATTCTTTTGAATAGACTTGGCACTGGTTTGGAAAGAAACCTCCTGGAGGCATAATGTGGCTTTTGGCAAGAAAGAAGTATAGTAGACCTGATATTTGCTGTGAGGCAAGTCCAAGAGAATTTCACTTAGCAGAACAAGCCTCTGTTGTCATTAACTTGACAAAGTCATTTGACACTGTAAACAGAGAGACTCTCTGGATCATCTTGAAACATTAAGAATGCCCAAAGAAAGTTGTGAAGTTGATTCAGCTGTTCCACATCAGAATGACAGGGCAGGTCTTTTACAATGGTGTTAAGTGAGCTGCATTTACCATTTCCAATGGGGGTGAAGCTGGGCTATGTACAAGCCCCAGACTTGTTCAATCTGTCCTTTGCTTGCATGTTATCCTGTCCAAGGTCTGAAGGAGGGAGTTATATCAAGTAACCATTGGACAATACTCTTTGACCCTTGTCCCTTGAACACGTGGACAAAGGGCCTCTATACATTCAAAAATAATGTTTGCATATGATTGTGTGCACTTGACACACAAAGACAGTAATCTATAATTGATGTTGAATACAATTTTAGATACTGCTATACTCTTTAGCATGGCTATCAACCTGAATAAGACTGAAGACTTTACTACCCTGTGTCAAATACCAACCCTATAGAAAATCACTGTTGACAGCAGCTGACAAATGTAAACAGCTTCAAATCCCTGGGAAGTATCTTCTTGATATAAAGGTCTTTGGACAAAGAAATTGACCCCAGGATCAGTAAGGCCAGCCAGACTTTAGGGCAGTTGAATACTAGCCTGTTCAATCCACACAGTGTGCATATCTCCACAAAGCTGGATATGGATTCCCTTCTTTCCTATAGACATGAGTCCAGATGCAATGGATGAGAAACATCATCAGAATGGATGAGCATTTATGTCTCGTCACTAACCATATGGTGAATTGGAGACCAGAAAGAGATCTCAAGGTTGTCCATGCAAGTGCCACAAAGAAGCTGCCACCAAAAATTGATAGATTATGAGCAGCAGAACAGAATAGCACCCACAATTATTGTAATAATGGACTTTGAGTGCCCCTATTTTCTAGACTCTGTGCTTCCAGACTAGGACTGCAGAGCCACCTCCGTGTTCATAGATGAACTGCAGAAGACTTGTCTCCTTTGAATCCAAAGGACTAGCTGTTATTGTGTGAACAAAGCTTAAAATAGTTTGCTTTTAACTCTTCTGGGGAGACAGCAGGTTTATAGTGAAATAATCATTTATTCTGCCTTGTATTCTTGGCTACCAGATTGGATTACTTCTATTTCCCTATAATACCTCATGATATTTGGTTACATGGGTAAAGGCATTTCATCTACCAGAAAGCATGTTTGAAGAAACTTTCAATCTACTAATCTTACATTATCTGAGAATTACTAGACTATCACATCAGAAAGTTTAATGAAAAGTAATGACTTCGATGTTACAAGTATTAATAGATATAATTTTTAATTTAATTTTAGCCTAATGAAGTTCACTGTTAAATGTGGATTATTGATTTATTTATTTAAAACATTTATATAGCCTCCCTTTACACCAGATTCTGGGCACAAGAATTAAAACCATATAAAACTCTTAAAACTATAAAATTCAAATCAAAATAAAAAACCTGACACCAAGTTAAGCTTCCAACATTTTGTCCCCTTAACCTATCCCAGCGCTTGATGGAAAACCCAGGTATTTGGTGTCTTTTTGGAAGACTAGAAATGCTAATAAAGTTGATGATTTGGCATATTGTGCATTGCTGAGCCAAAAAAAAATATATGTGTAAAAATAGTGAACCAAATAGTGCTGGTTTGTGTGATTGAGAATGAAATGAAAGCACAGTTCACAAGTTCACATGAAAAAGATTAATGAACTTTATTCAGAGGTAAATTGCTGTCAAGCTTGCATTTCATAGGAATGCATGGGTCACGTTATTGAAGTTCTTCAATTTTGGAAGATTGATGCAAATGAAGTCTTCCTTACATCAAGGGTCAAAAATTGCCAGCAATTATTGTTAAACTACTAGAACGAATGTGAGGAATTTCTTCACAGAAATTGTGACAGCCGACAAAATAAGTCTCAGAAACAAAATGTCAGTCCATGGAATATTATACTGAGAATGCAAAACATAGAGTTTGGCAGGAAAACTGGTTATAGTTTTTGAGATGCAGATAGTGTTGTTCACACAGATTTTCTTGAATCTGTCACTACTATTAACTCAGAGCACTATACTACAACATTCACAATAAGGTTCGGAAGGAAAAGAAGGAAATTAGGTCTCATATCTCTCAAGCCACCCAAAAGATATTTGAAATTGAATTTCACAATCTCATTCCATCTATCATATATAGTCCAAACTTTGTACCATGCAACTTTCACCCTTTGCCAAATTTATGAATACTTTTATGGATATGCGTTGGACTCAGATGAAGAGGTAGAAAGGTCTGTCAAGACCTGGTTGAAAGTGTGGAGTTCTTTCACAATGGGTTTAAAAAATAGCTTATCCATCATTGGCAGAAATGTAACAAGTGGTGGTGATTATAGGACATACATAGAATACATAGAAAATGGGAGGAAGGTGTGTTGGATATGTTCATTGCCTTGAGTTATTTATAAAAATAATAAAGACAGGATATAAATAAATAATGTGGAGAAGTAAATAGAAATAAAAAATAGAGCTCATTTCATTATTATTTTCTGTTTCATTTATTAAAATATCCATATAGATATTATGGAGATTAAGGCATTAATTAAACATAATAATTTTCTGTGCTTTTTTAAACATTAAAATCTACAGCAGCCATTCTTAACTGGGGTACCATGACAAGTTATTTGGGGTCTACAAGAGATCATAATTGAAAAAAAAAGTTGTTGTTTTTTTAAATTTATATACCAACACATGGAATTTTTACTCACCTGACTCAACTCCTGGTCTGCTGTTTTGCCAATGTTTTAAACGTAGACATGTTTTGTATAAGCTAGAGCTGAATTCTGTTGTAAACTTTGTAGAGTATGCTTTGTGATTTTATATAGGGATTCGTGAGATCTGAAAATTATTTCAAAGACTCTTCTAGGGTAAAAAGGATTAGAAAATCTGGTCTAGGACATTGATCCTTTTGACTGAATGTAAAAGGAGCTATGAATTATGTATACAGATAGTTTTCATTTAACCATCACAAATGGGGCCAGCAACTCTGTCACTAAATAATATCATTAAGCAAGTCATCATGTGATAACAACAAACTTAAGTCCTCATTTCCACCACAATTGTTAAGCAAGTCAACCCTGGTTGTTAAGGGAGATATCAGTAACCAAAACTTGCAGTTTTACTGCCGGCTTCCATATTGACTGCTTGTCAGAAGCCAGCTGTAAAATGTGCAAATGGCAATTGTGATCACAGGATATTGTGACAGTTATAGAATAGCCACCAGTGGTGAAGTGCCCTAATCTCTATCATGTTATTACAGAGACACATTGACAGTTGTAAGTGCAAGGACTGGTTGTAAAGTTACTTTTTCAGTGCTGTCATAACTTTGAACAATCACTAAACAGGACAGTTATTTAGCAAAGAATATATATAATATAATATGTGCTTTATATAATTGCCATGGTACTTTCTGTAGTCTTTTGTGGAAGTTATTAATTTAACTATATTTTGTATATCATGTAATGCATACTTACATTAAAATCCATGTATTTAATAAATACATATCATATGAATCATATAAAACATATAAAGCTTCATTAATTTTATAATAAAAGATGTTATCGTACAGTGGTAGACTACTTTTCTACAAAGAAAAAACATTTCCTGGCTTTCTGATATTAGTCAAAGTAGTCTGCCGTTTAATCTTTGTTGGTTACAACACTATCAACATTAAACATATTTATTAGAGAGTCTTTCTTGGTAACCTCCCTTTCTCTTCTGATTGTTACTGTGTCTTAGGAGCTATTTGAAGATGGCTATGCAAATGGAGAAGAAGGAACACCTACTGGAGAAGTCACTGCAGCATATACTGCTGATAGCAAAGGGATTGTCAAATTTGGTTGGATTAAAGGTGTATTGGTGAGTATAACTTGTATTTCAAGTAATTTTTGACTTCTGTTTAATGTTTTAAATCATATGTGGGGTTCTGTTTAATGTTTTAAATCGTGTGGGTTGCGATTCAACATTTCATGAATTTGTGAAACAACAACAACCTTAAGACAGAACAAAGCTACTTGTAAAATAAAAATATTTCAATTTGGTCACTTAGCTCGCAGTATTTTTTGTTGACTAGAATACCAATATTTAGTTGTATTACTGGTTTGATATGTAATATTTTTCAAGTTCATATATAGGGTGAGGTAATTTAGGATATCCAGGTACTAAAAACTGTGCAGACCCTGCATTTTTTCTAGTCTTGCTTGTCTTCAGTCGTTTTCATATTGTCATGTCACATCTCCATTTTTGCCTGGTAAGAGTTTTTCCTTCTCTTTGCCTGGCAGCAATATCTTTGGTTTCCTTGTTGCCTTTCTTCTTGCATGATAGAAAGGGTGTGAGAGCAGGTGGGGGTTCTCAGGGAATGGTGCTGCTCATCATAAGGAGATTTGTGGGATTGATAGTGTTCCCTGTGCCTGAAAAATATGCTAGGCTGGCGTATTAAGACAAGTTGTGAGACTGCTAATTCCAGACTGCTTCTATTCCAGGCCTTTTTCTGTGGCCCGGCATTATATTTATAGAGCACTCATTGCCCTGCCCTTGCTGTTTAATATCCATGAAATATCATTATAGGCCATAAAAAATGGTCTGGAAAGCCAGCATTTTGAGACCTCTGTCTATCTGGCAGTTTCACAATCATTACCCCAAAGATTCTTTTTTTAAAAGAAGGAAATAGTAAATTTAAGAGTAAAGAAAAGTAAGCTATGAAAATGTTTTCATTTGTGTATTTTCATTCTTGATATTTTGTTATTTTCCTTTGTTGGTTGGATTACTGTAATCCAGAGAATATTTAGAAAAAACCCAAATCCCATATAATTTATTACTCTACCACAGGAATATTCTAGAGCAAGAGTGTCAAACTGCCAGCTCGTGGGCCGGACGCGTCACATGGAAGCTGCGCCCACTGACAATGTCAAAACAGTCCCCAATACATTGCGCAACGTCACATGACGTCACTAGTTTGACATATCTGTTTTAGAGCTATATGGTTAATAGTAAAAGGCATACTGTTCATATTGTTCACTTTAAATTTGTAATAAGCAATATTATGCTTAGTTATAGGTAATTAGCATTTTCTAATTTATTTAATTTGAGATTTCTGGCTTTATTTTCCATTCACTTATGCTGGCTTCAAGGATAGTGTTACATCTTTTCTATGGTTTAAACACCCCTTATAAAACAGTTTTCAGTTTGACATGTTAAGAAACTACAGCTCAGTACTCATACTCTTCCTATAACAATACAAAGCAAATGGCTCCAAAAATGGCTCCACAGAACAACAAATGATGTAGTTTTTTGAGTGACATTATATGTTTGCTTTATTACTATTGATTTATAAAATCTGTCTTTTGTTGGTGAACATTTTTTCTTCCTATTAGGAATCTAGAAATGTAATACTTTTGTTTTTTGTATATAATCTATTAATTAACTGTTAATAATAATGTCTTTCAGTAATATGCAACTAGCTTTTAAAAACTGACATCTTACTGCAATCTTGTTTTCTAACTATTTATATGTAAATTAGAAACATTTGCCTCTGTATTAAAAATATAAGATAACAGTTTTATAATGAGCTTTACTTCCTGAGAAATTCATCTGTGTGCCATTAAAGTTAGATGGGTTCCAAGTTGCATCTTGAAAAGAGGGTTTGAAAGCCTGAGATCCTTGGTTCTCTTGTAAGAAACATTTAACTTGAACTGTTACAATTCTTCAAAAATCTAATTTTAATATAAATGTTCTTTACTTTGATGTTGAAATAGGTACGATGTATGTTGAATATCTGGGGGGTGATGCTCTTCATTCGACTATCCTGGATTGTAGGACAAGCTGGCATAGGTGAGTACTTCTAAACACCACATTTATATATTATTTTGGCTATTACTAAAAGCCCTGTGACTTCTAATATCTGACAAAACCTGGATTATAGAGTAGGATTACTGCTGAATGTCCATAGTTTCTCAAAAAGAAAGAATTGAATGGTTAAATAACTGCTTTTTTTTTTTTGCAGAACTTTCTAATTTTGAGGGGCGGGGTTGTTTCCATAGTAAAAACATAGCATACCTGAATGATTAGCCCTGTGTTTGATTTCCAGAATATTATGTAGGTGGCTTTCTTACTAAAAATTAAGATGGTTTCTATATTTGAAAAGAATATAAAGCAATTGCTGAACCTGTTTCAGTTGCTGTGAATTATACTCTCATTGTTAAACATGTTTCCATATTTGATTTTTATACTACTTTTGTTACTTTTATATATTGCAATCAGTTGTTAACCATGTTCAATCAACACTTATTGATCAGATAAATGGATTTGAATCTTCAATTCTTCCAACAGCATATCTGTTGCTGCTATAATTGAATCCTGTTACCTTGCTGATAGCTATTGTTATCTTCTCTTTTCTTCTACCTTTGCCAGCATTGTGGACTTCTCAAGGGACCTTGTCCAAAATATAATAATTTGAGCCTGGTTATTTGTACCTCAAGTCAGAACTCTTGTTTGATTTTTTCATTTGTTTTCTTGGCTATTCATGGTATTCTCAAGAATTTTCCTCAACACCGGAGTTCAAAAACATCAATACTTTTTTATTGTGTTTCAGAGTCCATCTTTCATTTCCATGACTGTCACAGCAAAGAAATTCTACATGATTCTAGTTTTTATAGGTATAAATGTGTCACAGTATTTGAGGCCTTCATTACTAGGCTGCCAAGTGCTAGCCTGCAGCATATTTATTGATTGCTATACTGCTTGATAAACTATTCACCACTTAAATGCAGAAACTATTCACCACTTAAATGTATTTAATTTTAAGGCTGGGTTACTGTATCTGTTTTTATTAATTTGATTTTCTTTATATTTAATTATACTCTCATTTTCTCACTAAAGTTTTAGACTTTGATTACTAGATCTATCTAGTAATTTGTATCTTCAGCTTTCAGAGTAATGTCACCAACATAGCCCAGTTTGATGTTTATTTTTCCACTTTTAAAACTACATTCATCATCTTCTGATCAAACTTCTTTTAATATATATTTGACACATAGACTAAATAAATAAGACAGAGAATTTAGTCTTCGCTGACCTGATGTGATCTACTTTGCTCTGTTCCAACTGGACCGCAGATTCCTGTTCTATGTGGTTTTTGCATTTGAGAATGATCTGAGATGTCATTTGCCTAAAGACCTATCACAGTACAAAAGGCTCTTGTAAATAGGGATTATCTTCTAAGGTAATTTGGATGTTGACATTGCTGTTATTCAGAATTCAGTACATTTTTTCCATCTTTCTTTGAATCAGAATTTTTTTATTAATATGCATTGTTTTAGGAAACATATAATTCTTACAAATCCTAACAATTCTTTTTTCCTTACAGGACTTGCTGTCTTGGTTATTGCAATGGCCACTGTTGTAACTACTATCACAGGCTTGTCTACATCAGCTATAGCTACCAATGGTTTTGTGAGAGGAGGTAAAACTTCATTAATATATACATGATTAGTAGTCTTTAAATGTAGCTGGTATAAATGATTTTTAACTCTGCATATATATAAAAACTTATGTATGTAAATTCTCTGATGGAAGCATTTTTCATATAATTTAAAAAAAAGTTAAAAGACCGTGAAATATATGATTGATGTGCATCCAACAGTAATTTGATACTACCTACAATAGCAATAACAAAATTTAACCTAGCTTGTCAGTGTCAGTGGGTTTCAAAAAACATGTTTTTGGTGACTTGTTATAAAAATCCTCTATTCATCATGAATGCTTTGCTTAACAAGCAGGACAATTATTTGCATGCAGTTTTATAGTTCTTTGGTTGTAAGGAAAGTTCTAGAAAATACATCAGTGCTTTATCCCTTGATCTTTTTCCATACAATTAGTAGCTGTAATTCTCTATCTTTCTGTCTATAGTATCTATCTGTCAGTAGGACAGTCTGTCTGTTAGGTGGTGTTTACTTCAGTATTAAACAGATGCAAACATTTTGTTACAAGTGAATAATATTGATAAAGATATTAATACTGTACTTATGTACATGAATAATGATAATACTGTACTTCTTGTGCGCATGAATATCAGAATTGACCTCAGATAAAAAAAGAGAAAAATCATCTTAAAATGTTGAAGTATGTTTCATACATAAAATCCAGGACATCCTGTCCTTGTCATAACAATTTGAGATGATCCTCAGTGCTTGTAGGACATAAGCATAAATTCTGTGTAAAAAAATATAATTTGTATCGTAACTTACATCTTACACTCTTCTTCTTTAGGAGGTGCATATTATCTCATTTCCAGAAGCTTGGGGCCAGAATTTGGCGGTGCTATAGGCTTAATCTTTGCATTTGCTAATGCTGTTGCCGTAGCCATGTATGTAGTCGGTTTTGCAGAGACTTTTGTTGACCTACTTGAGGTAAACTCATTCTTCTAGTGTGCTGTTTGTTATCTTTATGTTTCATAATCTGAACTTTACTAAATTTTCCTCAGTACAGTTCTACTTTGGAATAGTTTATAAAAACTGTTTTAGGGAGATGTGAGACAGCTTGGATTTAGTGGTGGTACTAATTCAGTGGACAAATATTTGCTCAAATTAGCCCAATATCAAATGCATCATTTAATTATGCTTACTGAAAACCTAAGGAGGTCTATGATTCATCAAAAGAATTTGATGCTTCCAGTAGAAATGAACCTGTGTAAAGCCTGCAATTTTGTAAAGTATCCCTTTTAAGGTTTTGCAACTCTAGGAATAATCATAATGTGGGATTTGATGCTATGAAGTTTATTCAGTCATTTAACATCTTTAATTTACTAATTATTGATAACTATAGCTTGTGCCCTGTATAATGTGTTTTCCTTCATTGATGACCAGCCTAAGGGGAAATTAGGGCAACATGAAAATATGGAGCATACATACCGTAAATGCCAGCGTATAAGGCGACTTCCGCGAGCGCTGAAATTGGCGCCAAAGATGGGGGTCATCTTATATGCCGAGTCGTCTTATACGCCGGAAATACTGGTAGTTTCCGGCGTATAAGACGACGTTCTAGGAATGCGGCCCGGCTATAAAGACGGGGGTCGTCTTATACGCCGGGTCGCCTTGTACGCCGGCATTTACGGTACTTGTCATGTATTTTTAAATCACAACTTGAGTTTTTAAAAACGTAGTAATCAATTCAAATACATTACAGTTAGATGAGTTTAACATTAATCTTTATAATAAGAGATAGTTTTTATAAAATAGAGCAAAATAAACATCAACATTTGTACAATCAGGATTTTCTAAATCTAATTATTGTATATAACAAACTAAAATGAAGTCCTGTTTTCAAATATTCTTCGTAATCTTTTTTGTATTTGTTAAAATGATTTTCACTTGTTGCAATATTAACTCTATCACAATTATCTCAATTTTTTTTTGTAGGAACATGAATTGCTTATGCTGGATCCAAATAATGATATCAGAATTATAGGAGCAATTACAATTGTTGTTTTATTAGGCATCTCGTTAGCAGGAATGGAATGGGAAGCTAAAGTAAGTAACTATGATTTTAAAAATGCTATTATAAAAATGTAAGTAATGTATGAAAAAAATGTGAAAATAAGCATATATGACAAAAATAACTAATATTCAGACATCAACAAGGAACATTCTTGCAATAACGTTTCATCCTATAGTTACAATATAGAGATTATTTACATTTTGTGTTAACATAGCTTTTCCATTAGGGTAATGGGAGGGAAGGGTTCTTCAAATATGACTGTTACAGTCCTTAAAAGACTTTCGTTGTGAATAAATAATCCAAACCAGTAGTAAAAGATTTGTGACATTTCTGTGCCCCCCAAAAGAAAATTCTATTGAAGCCATTTCAGAAGTAAATACTATTATTTTAATGATGATGAAATTACACATAGGACTGCAGCATTCTAATTTTTTTAAAAATATAATATTCCAGTAGGAAGCAGTTAAAATAAGATAGTATTTATTCAGGCTTAAAAGAATGCCATAGCCCAAATAGACCCTAATAAGGTACTTTTTTATAAGGATATATTAGTTACATTCTATGTAAATCTAACAAATTACTATCCTTATATTCTTTTTAAAAATATTTAAGATCTTAATATGATTTAGTTCAAAGAATTGCTATGCTTAAATGCTTTCATCAAGTAGAGTAAATTTCTAGGTGAATTACCATCTCTGTTACAAAACATTTTCAAGCACAAGCATTCCTACTTTTGGCTCAATTGAAGAGAGGTTGACATATCTAAAAAACTGTATTTATAATGCTTATTTGACTGCCTACTTAATCAAAGTAGTTATTTGACCAATTGTGTGTGTGTGTGTGTACATATACATACATACATATATTACATATATATACAAACATACATGTACATATACAAACATACATACATACATATATAAAGAGAGAGAGTGAGTGATGTTGGTCTTAATTTGGAGAATTTTTTTATATAAATAATGTTGATATTATCCACTTGAAAATTATAGGCACAGATTGTTCTGCTGGTGATATTACTAATAGCTATTGCTGACTTCATCATAGGAACATTTATTCCGTTTGAGAACAAAAAGCCTCAAGGATTTTTTGGTTACAAAGGTAAGACAAAATGATAAAACAAAAATCTTCCCAAATGTAGTCTAAAACCTGTTATTTCACATACTAAAATTGGCGATATTAATGTCATAATTTATATATATTACTAAAACATATTCTAAGTTATATATCAACTATTTCTAGTTTTGAAATATTAAGTGTTTGACTTCAATATAGTATCCTTTGATATGCAACCCAATTAGATTTTCTACAGACTATTGAAACAAAACATCCCCACAGTCCATTTTACTTTCCAGGTGATCCCTTAAACTTGAGGACTTAATTTTTGTAAATGCCATATGTATGAGGAAAGCTACAATCTAATTTTAGTAATTAATTTCCATTTTATATCTTGCAAGATTTTCAGGCACCAAATGGGAATGTGTAGATTTCCCCCCCCCCCGATAACATTCTAGTAACGTTGGGCCACTCATCACTCACTTGAGGATTATGGGCATAATGATGGCTTTCATAGAATATGTGAAAGTAGGTCCATTTTCTTCCACTTTAGATATAAAAGGAATATGTCATTCAATTTCTCCAAAATATGAATGTCTTATGCTCCTTACTCTTGAGATAGTTCTAACCAACTTTATTTATTATTACAATAAAAGTAGTTCTTACTTAACAACCTAATTGGGACTGAGAACTCCATCACTAAGCATAATAGTTGCTAAGTGAGAAATCAGATGACTGTGACTGTGCTTTCCGACTGGAAAGAGACGAGTCTATTTAGTTTCACATGTTCTGCTTTGGCTTGCCTCATATTCACTCCCATGTCCTTTGAAATGCTCAAGTGCCCGCTACTATTTTAGTTACATCAAAAGCAATGTGATTGTGCCAGCTGCCCAGGGCTGGCAGCCATAGGCATATAATGCAAACAGCTTAGTCTCTTTAAATCCCTTCCTCTCCAGATTCTCAGCTCTCAGATAGGGATGGAGAAAAAAAGCAAGTAATTTCTCTAAGTAATCTCTCCTTTGTCTGACCCTTTCCTAATTTCAGCACAATCACATTGCTTTCAATGTGTAGAAGAGCAAACAGCTTTCTCTCTTGCAATCCCATCTCTCTTCTGCAAGGTGGGGAAAAAAGAAAAAAAAACCCCAAAGGTCAGACATAGGATGTGTACTGCCTGTAATGTAATGATCATGTGACTGAGGGATACTGCAAAAGTCAAATGATCTAAGTCAGCTGTAAAGTAGTTTTTTCCAGCACTATTCTAATTTTAAACAATCATTCAATGAGTGTTCAATAAGTGAGGACTATCTATATATTTTTCTAGTCAATATGTCTACTGTAATCCTACAGGAATTTTTAATTGATATCTGTGTTAGTTAATAATGGCAGAAATATTACAGGTAATACAAGAATATACTGATTTGGTGGAAGATTGTATTTGTTAAAAAAAACAGCAAATTTCTAAATATCCACCTTACAGTTTATTTTTATTTTTTAAGTATTATGTATTTTTTTTTTTAGCTTCATGGTAATTTCTTCAGAGGAATAATAAATGCGAAGTACATTGGACAACACAATGTTAAAATAACTCTTTTTTAACATTCTTATTTAATAGCTGAAATATTTTCAGAAAACTTTGGACCAGATTTCAGAAAAGAAGAAACTTTCTTTTCAGTATTTGCTATATTTTTCCCAGCTGCAACAGGCATTTTAGCTGGTGCAAATATCTCAGGTGATCTTGCGGTGAGTGATGTTTAATTATTTTGTTGCTATTCAGTTCTTTGGAGCGCTCTTGTGGTTCATAAATGCCATTTTTTCCAGGATCCTCAATCAGCCATACCTAAAGGGACACTGCTAGCCATCTTAATCACTACAGTGGTTTACATGGGAGTAGCAGTATCAGTAGGTAAGCAATTTTCACTTTTAAATTGTTTGGACATTTCTTGATGTTTGTGTGGATAATTTTTTCTAGGTTGATTTTTACAATTTAATTACTGCTTATCCTTCATATAGAGACAATCATCTTATAATTTACCAAATACAAAATCTATATACTGTGCACCATCTTAGACCGACCTTCTGTACTGTAGTCCACTTGGTATTACCAAGTATTTATACCTTTACGTACGCAGAAAAAGGAAAGGCAAGAATAATATTATAAATATTGTATATACTTTTAAAGGAGAACAAAAAGAACAAGAAAATCCAAACTGTAGTACAGATAAATTAGTTGTTTAAAGTTTTGTAAAAATAGATTGTAGGTGTTTTGAAATTATATTTGTTTCTTTACAAGATGTAATCAGTAGAAATTCTCCCCAAAGCCAGACATTGCTTTTGCTTGTTATGGTATTTATGTTTTATATTACTTAGATTTTTATACTGCCAGTATAAATTTATAGTGTATGTCATCTACTTGGGTTTCTGAAAAATCCTTAGCTTTCCAGAATATCAGATTAGCAGTATAGAATACTGGAGCCAAGCATACAGAACAAATGTTGTTAAGGAAGTTATTAAAAAGGAAAGAAAGAAGAGTCATTGCTGAAGTCCTATTTTTCTCCCTTATAACATATAAGACAAACTTTTATTTAAAAAAAATACTGTGTTAAATTAGATAAAGCTAATTTTACCAGAGTTTGGTCAACATTTTTTTTATAGTTGTGAAAGTTAGGTTTAGTGGTGTTTATATGGCATTTAAGAATCATATCATTCAAAAATAAGGCATTTTCACAATTCTGTTTCCTCAGTAGCACAAAAATTTATTTTAATAAAATAAAATAAGTAGAAAAAAATCATAATTTACAAATGCGATTTTTTTCAGAAGCTAAATTTGTGTGCAGTGTAATGGACTATTATTTTTCTTTTCCTGCCTCTACTTCTGGTTATCAGATGTTTGGAATCTTTTGCTCCCAGACCTCATTTGTTGTTCCTAGGAAAGAATCTGTACATCAACACAAGCAAATACCTGAGCAACATAACTTATATTTCTTTGCCTAAGTAACATAACTTATATTGGTAGCCAGAGGCTTTTCATAAATGTGCAGGGCTAACACCATTGAATTGCTATAGGACGTGCGCCGTCGCCCCAGTCCTAGGCCTTCAGCTGGGTTTTATAAAACCTTTTCGTTTTAGGCCTCTGCCGCTGTGTGCAAAAAAAAAAAAAAAATCAATTTCAACTTTTCGCGGGGAAAAAAAAGATCCCGCAAAGTTGGAATTGATTGATTGAACTTTTTAGTCCCATCCAATCTACCGTTACCACTGCAGCTACGCCCACCCAATGGGCCACGCCCACCCAATGATACATAAGTGGGTTTTGGGTTGAGGTTTGGGCACTCGGTCTCTAAAAGTTTCGCCCTCACTGCTATAGGAAGTCCTTGACTTACAACTGTTCATTTAATGACTCTTCAAAGTTACAACGGCACTGAAACAAGTGACTTATGACTGTTTTTCACGCTTATGACCATTGCAGCATCCGCGATCAAAATTCAGATGCTTGGCAACTGATGGTTGCAGTGTCCTGGGGTCATGTGATGACCTTTTGTAATCTTCTGACAAGGAAACTCAGTGGGGAAGTCAGATTCACTTAACAACCAGGCAAAAAGTAAAATGTAGCAAAATTCATTTAACAAATGTCTCACTTAGCAACAGAAATTTTGGTAAGTCGAGACCTACCAGTATTTGGATACAAATTAAGTCGTATAAGTTACCACTTTAGTAGCATTCTTATGTGTGCTAAACCTGACTTTTTAAATCAAGGTATAACCTAACATTCTAGGAACCACATGTTGAATTGAAAAGCTTCTTCAAGGTACTTTCAACCATAATTATTAAAAATCAGTATGGTTTTCAGTCATTTGGAAGCAGGAAATATAACCCAAACAAATCTTCCTGAACTATCTTCCAAACTCCAGCGAATTGAAATAGATATGTTCAAAACATTCCCTTCTTCCTGCAAATCATACCATGTTCCAGCATATTATATATATATATATCTAAATTATTGAAAATCTTGGCTCCACCTATATTTGAGAAAATGAACAGATCCCCTTTAGGTCATGACTACTGTGACAATTGCAGCATTCCCATTGTCACGTGATCAAAATTCAGACGCTTGACAACTGGTTCATATTTATGACTGTTACGTCCTGTGATCATGCGATCCCCTTTTGTGAACTTCTGATAAGCAGAAAGCAGAAGTTAATGAGAACAACCAAAAAGATCAAAGGAAAAAAAGAGATAAAATCCAGCAGGGGGTTAAACTAAATCAGCATTCAGCCAGCCAATTAACGTTTAAATATAAAGGACAAAGAAAAACTTGAAAAAGTGAAATTAAAGCCCAGACTTGATTATGACAATGTTCTGCTGGTAGAAAGAGGTAGAGAAAACAATAACTTTTTGCTGCTCCTACAGGGAGCTGGAATCTTCATGTTTCCCTCTTCCAGGTGGGTCCATAGCTGTCTAAAAGTCATCTTGGGTCATTGTTAGGTGCCCCCACTCAAATTCAGGAAACAACACTGCTAAAGAACCAGCTTTGGCAACAAAAACAGCAGATATCAGTAGGGGAGAAAAATTTCCTTAGTGAGTAGCAACCATCCTGGGGGAGGAGTAGCTGTTGATATTATTTAGAAAGATCTTTAACAAAATCTAAATCAGTGGTTCTCAACCTTGACAATTTTAGGGCATGTGGACTTCAACTCCCAGAATTCCACAGCCAGCATTGCTGGCTGTAGAATTCTGGGAGTTGAAGTCCACATGCCTTAAAATTGTCAAGGTTGAGAAACACTGATCTAAATGGACCTTCTTTATAGGAATGGATTAAGATTTCTGTGCTTTTCTACTTGATAAGTCATCTCTTCTTTATCTACTTTTCTAGGTTCCTGTGTTGTTCGGGATGCCACCGGGAGCCTTAATGACACAATTGTTAATGAGCTGACAAACTGTACATCAGCAGCTTGTAAACTAAATTTTGATTTCTCTTCCTGTGAAAAGACAAAATGTTCTTATGGGCTAATGCATGATTTCCAGGTAAAGCACTATTTCCAATCCTGGGAATTCTTTGAGGGAGGGAATTTTCCATATCATACATTAAGAACTCCCCAACCTTTCCTGGTTGGTGGCCCGATGGGAAAGGGAGGAGCAGGGAAATGTGTGTGCTTGTGCGCCTGCACAAACAGGTGCATGCATAGTGGTGCTAGCATCCACACACATGCAAAAGAAGGCTGTGCACACCCACGGTGGTGGTGGTGCCTTTGTGCGGGCTGCTAGGGCCCAAGTGCATGTGCAAATGGGCCACTAGCGCCCTGCGCATGAGCAAATGCCACTATTGCCCATGTGACACTGGCAGTGCTAGTACTCCCGTGCATGCGCAGATGGGGCCACTAGTGCCCACCCGGCTGCATTAGCATGAGTGGGGGGTGTGTGCACATGCGTGCATTCTTCAGCCATTCCCATGTCCAACAAGCCACGGCCTGGTACCGGTGGAAACCTCTGCCATACATGATTTTACAAATTTGTGTAAACTATTACAAATGTGGAGAAAGATCTTTTTGTGTTAAAAGGATGTGAAATCAAATACTTAAAATGGAAAATGTTTCTTTCATTGGATATTTGATTGAAAACCAGTTTTTATGTTAGTGGTTATTTTTTGTTGTTACTCCTTCACACATACACACACACACAAAATCTCTATCATCTATCTATATCTAGCTATCGAGCTATCTACAGGATTTTAGTTACAATAGTAAAACCAAATATAAAAAAGAAAAGTGAAATGTGCAGAGGAGAAGAGAAAACAAAGAAAAAAAGAAAATAGAGAAAAATATATGAAATAGTGTCTTCCATCTTTATAGTGTCTTCCATCTTTACGTTCATAAATATTTTTGTACTCTTCACCCCTCTTAGTTTATAATAATCTCTTCATCCTATATTCATCTCTTATCTATAAAAAAATCCATAATGCATAGTCTTTTCAGACCTAATACCAGTAGAAAGTCCATTAAAGGTTACCAGAAATAATGCATTTTATTTTGACCTTGAACAAATAAACCAACTTTATATTTCTTCCTTTTAGTTTTGAATCTTAATCTTTTATCCATTTAAACAATGTTGCAGAATTTTATTTCATTTCTTCTTTGTCCCTTCTCACAAGATTCATGAAAGCTTTAATAAGCTTTTTTGTAAATCCAATGTAGAAGAATTACCGAGGTCACTCTCGTGGTTTATTATTTTTATTTTCTTTTTGATTATTAAAACATCAATTGGTTGTACATGTCTAGACAGACATCTTTTTCCACGTCATTTTAGTAATGATCATTTGTAGATCCATTTCTATCCATATCTGTCTTGTTCTTCACTTGCCATTTCTTCCATAACATTTTTGTACAGTCTGTTGATGGAAACAAACCTTGCTATTGACATTGTTGATTCCATGTTTCCAAAACTGCCCTTCAGTTATCCATCCCAGTTAATTAACTGTTAATTAAGCGTGTGTAATTTGTTCCTTTAACTAAAATCTTTAGTTCCCTCTAGTGGCCAATTTTTAAAATTGATTTATTTTCCCTTGCAAAAGTCCAAACAAATTTCCGACAGGAAAGATTCTTTATAATTAATTCCCAAATCTCATTCCAAATTTACCTGAACCCTTAATCCATTTATAAATCTTATTTAGCTTTTTGCTGTTTATTTCATTTTTTACAAAATAGTAAACTGTGATTAAAATTTTATTTCATTAAGGATTGAAGGGAAAGGCCTGCAGGGACCAGGTGGAAGGCTAAAAAGCCTGCAGAGGCCCAGCAGACGGGAAATGGATCACAGGGTGTTTTGGGGGTGGGGGGGAGCCTTGAGAGGCTCAGGGCAGATGGGCCTGGGTCTGGGCCTGTGCTAGGTCTCCAAGGGCCTCCCTCATGCCTGAGGCACCCCATGCTCTGCTTAAAGACCTATTCATTTAATGATTGCATCAGGAGAAGCAGGGAATGGGGTCATTAAGCGAAGCCATCTTGCTTAATGGCCATCACAACATGCAACTGAAATGGGCAAACTCCATTATGGTCATATCTTGAGTACTATCTTTACTCCTTACTCTTATTTTCCCCACAATAAGCCTATGAGGTAGATTAAGCTGAGAGAGTGACTGAATCAAAATCATCCAGCCAACTTTATTTGTTTTTCTTTCCTTTTCTGTAATAATAATTTCAGGTTTAATCTTGGCAAACATTTTTCTTGTCTTCAAGTTTTCAGAGATTATGAGGGCATTGAGGCCAAACAGAATATGTAACAAATATTTTAATTAGAAATATTGTCACTCAACTTTTTTAGGAAGTTGCATTTCTTTTGTAAAATTTAAAAAGTTTTAAAGCTATAATTACTTAGTAGTTCTTTGAAAATAATAATCTCATTGATAGCCCATATATTACCCCACTATCTTACAGCTGATTCAAAATAAGAATTGCTCCGTATTATTTTTTTCATCAGAAAAAATAAATTCGTTTACATTTTCTGCCCAATAAAGCTCAAATAAGTTTGGCCACTTCAGTGTTGGAAAGTCAGTATTGTAATTAGAACCAAGAACTTGCCGGGATTACAAGTATTTTGAATAGGAACCCATAATGGTGACACCATATCATTCACGTTCCAGACAAATAGTGTTAACAAATAACACAAAAGTATTGTTTAAAATAAGAAAATTAAAACCACTGTTTTAAATGGAATATTATCTATCTATCTGCTAGCTGAATAATCTAAGTAACTTGAGTCTAGGTCCTTCCATAAAAAAATAATATTTCATTACACTTCATTGCAGTTTAAAATGTTTAAATGCAAGCACCATGGGCCTTGCTTTCAAAATATAGATATCATTCTTAATTCAGATATCATTTTCACAATGTTAATTCTTCCCTGCAAACTATTTTCTTATTTTCTATTCAATATACAGGTAATGAGCATGGTATCAGGATTTGCCCCATTGATAACAGCTGGTATATTTTCTGCAACTCTTTCTTCAGCGTTAGCATCTCTTGTCAGTGCACCTAAAATTTTTCAGGTAAGAAGGATTGTTTTCATTATTTTCTTCAAATATGCACCATATATAATAATAACATAAAAATAAAAACAGATAATATAATAATAACAAAAAACAAAATAATAATAACAAAAACATAATACAATAATAAAACATAATATAATAAAAATAGATAATAATATCATCATAATAAAAAAACAGATCTGTGAATATCTAGAAACAAAGATATAACTAATAGCTAGCATGGGTTTGTTAAAAACAGATCATACCAAAGCAATCTTATTTCATTATTTGACAAAGTGACTAAATTACTAGACCAGCAAAATGCTATAGACATAATATACTTAGACCTCAGCAAGACATTCAACAAAGTAGACCACAACCTACTTCTTGGTAAACTAGAAAAATGTGGGCTAGACAGCATCACCACCAAATGGATTTGTAGCTCACTGACAGTTACATGGATGGAAGTAAGCAGTGAGGTACCACAAGATTCCATCTTAGGTCCTGTGCTCTTCAATATCTTCACAAATGACTTAGATGAGGGAATAGCAGGGGAATTCATCAAATTTGCAGATGACACTAAGCTAGCAGGAATAGCTAACCCCCAGAAGACAAGCTTAGGATCCAAAAAGATCTTGACAGACTTGGACAATGGTCTCTATCCAACAACATGAAATTTAATGTGGAGAAAAACAAGGTTTTACACCTAGGCAGGAAAAACCAAACAGATTGGGCAAAACCTGGCTCAAAAACAGTAACTGTGAGAGGGACCTTGGAGTCCTAGTGGACAATCACTTAAACGTGAGCCAGTAGTGTGCGGCAGCAGCCAGAAAAGCTAATACAATTCTTGGTTGTATAAACAGGGGCATAGAATCAAATTCATGTGAAATATTAGTAGCACTTTACAAATCCTTAGTAAGATCACACCTGGAGTACTGCATCCGGTTTTGGTTATTACATTACAAAAAAGATGTTGTGACTTTGGAAAAAGTGCAAAGAAGAGCAACTAAGATGATTAAAGGCCTGGAGACAAAAATTTATGAAGAACGGTTGCAGGAATTGGGTATGGCCAGTCTAGTGAAAAGAAGGACTAGGGTGACATGATAGCAGTATTCCAGTATTTAAGTGGTTGCCATAAAGAAGAGAGGGTCAACCAGAAAGCAAGACAAGAAACAGTGGATGGAAACTAACCAAGGAGAAGAGGCAACTTGGAATTAAGGAGAAACCTCCTAATAGCAAGGACAGTTAACCAATGGAACAGCTTGCCTTCAGAAGTTGTGGGTGCTTCATCACTGGAGGTTTTCAAGAAGAGATTGGACAACCACTTATCTGAAATGGTATAGGGTCTCCTGCTTGAGCAGGGGATTGGACTAAAAGACCTCCAGGGTCCCTTCCAAGGAAGTCAATATCAATATTGGCAGTAATATCAATCAATCAGAATAGACTGATTGATTGATATTAAAAAAACACTTTTCTCAACTTGCTTATAATTTATGTAATAAGTCTTCATTTTTTAAAAAGACTACAATATATCTAATAATGCTGCCTCCCTGGTCTATCAGCTATATCTTCTTGTGCAAATCAGACTAGATTGAGTTGATGATCTGTACCGTTTAATGTTACTGAATTTTTTCTTACTGCCAATGTGTGCTTGGCCCTTGTCTTTAAGATTTGATGCCTTGAGTATTTTTCTATATGTTTATACTTTAATTGGTCATCTCTTTTGATCCTAGGCATTGTGCAAAGACAATATTTATCCGGGTTTCCTGATGTTTGCTAAAGGCTATGGGAAAAATAATGAACCTTTACGAGGGTATCTTCTCACTTTTTTGATTGCTCTTGGATTCATATTAATTGGTTAGTTTAAATCATTTTTTTTAAAAAAAAAACTTGTTTTAAAAATCTGAATTATGTGGCATGATCTGTGGAAATAAGATATGTCAATACAATACCTGAACTGAGCTTTACAATTTTTATATAGACTAATGTCATCAATCACATTAACCAGTTAGACTTCAGAGGCTTGTCACTAGAATTTCTCATTCTCTAAATATTTGAAGACTGTTTCTGTGTTAATCCAGTGTTCAATGTTATCAAATGCAAAGATGTAGTTCTACCTAGGAATTACACTTATGATAAAGCAGATAAAGATTCCTGTGAAAATTAACCTGCTTAACTGTGATAGTATGCAAAATATTACATTATTAAAAATAAATAAGTTATTGAAATGGCCAGGTCTAAGCTCAAATACTTTTGTCTTATGATCAGAAATATCCCACTTTGAATTCAGAGCAGCTGTACAAACACTCACCAGAAGTATCCCAATATTCTATCCATTATAAAAGAATTCTAGATCCATAAGTACAGTTTTGGAATGCTTCTAGAAAGCTCAAAATATTTCAGATTTAAAATATTTCTAGTTCTAAACATTTTGGCATGCTTTCGAAGTATGGGAGGGGCTTTGTGGAACCTGTGCTGAGAAGAGAAGGAATTATATATATATATTTCATAGACATTCTGTGCAATTCTACATCTCACTGTATCCTGAGTAAATATATTTCAGCTTCATTTCAATTCTAGAGTTGTCTCATCCAACTATCCCAATTAATACAAGAAGCTTTAGCAGAAAAGCACTTTTGCCACCCTAATCCAGATTGTATATTTCTGCATATATGAAGAAAATAGTCCTCTTAATCTCCCATACCACTTTTGGAAGTTCTGTTTGTAGTTCATGTAAAAGCCTCATTATAAAAGGCTACAAAGAATACAAAATCAGAAGAACCACCAATTCAAGTAAGGAGCTGTTTTTCCAAAGCAGTCTGCTCTAAAAATCAACATGATTATGTGTTTCTGTCTTTGCAGCTGAATTGAATGTAATTGCTCCAATTATCTCCAATTTCTTCTTGGCTTCCTATGCTTTAATTAATTTTTCCGTGTTCCATGCTTCACTGGCAAAATCACCAGGTATGAATTTTATATTGATCCTAGTGAGAACATGGGGTCTTTTTAAAAATATTTTTGAACACTAGTTGTACATCCATTTTTAAAATATAAACACCAACAGCAATAAAAAAAATAACTTCAAGCTTAAGCAAATTGCAAAAGTTAGGAGGGTAGGGAGAAGGCATAGTATTACTGTTATTTTCCTTCATTTTTGATATATTTAAGTATATAGCAATTGTGTGTGTAAATGCTGGCAAATTTATGTAACAAGTTTTTGTTTATACAATATATTAACGTGGCAATTGAAGGATAAGTTTTATATATGTTACATAACATATATGATATATACATATATACATAAGTATGTACATATGTTTTTTTAATTTTTATTTGCTTTTGAATAGGCTGGCGTCCTGCTTTTAAATATTACAACATGTGGATATCTTTAATTGGAGCAATTCTCTGCTGCATAGTCATGTTTGTTATTAACTGGTGGGCAGCACTGCTCACATATGTTATTGTTCTGGGACTCTACATTTATGTAACTTACAAGAAGCCAGGTGGGTACATCTTTTTGAGCCAGTTGCATATGCATGGTTTTCCCCTTTACTACTACTTTACACCAAGTCTAATGTTAAGTTTAGGTGAAGTAAATTAAAATCAGGATTTGGCAATATAAAATTCAAACCTTCATTTTTTTCAGAATAATAGTTTGTCAAGGGAATCAGTAACAAAAGGAAATAAAGCACTTTTTCAAATAATAATTTTGAATAGTTCAATAATTTTATTATATTTTATGTTTACACAGCAGTCTTATTTTGCAAGACTTTTTTAGCTAATATGCTTTGAATAGCTTTTCGTTCAGACCAGATTCTTTTAAGTTCCATCTTAGCAAAATTCACACAGCTTTGAAGAGAGGCAATAAAGATTTTCTTGGTTACATCTGGATTTTCGAATCAATTCATTATCCATATCTTTTTCCTTACGTTTCCTTAGATTTCTTCTTTCTTAAATTTCTTTAGTCATATATCTGATATCTGAGGCTCTGCTTCATGCCTTGAAATTTCACTATTGTCTCACAGTATAGCTTCTTGGCTTCTTATTCAGTACTTCTTTCCTATGTGACTTTTTCAAATAGGATTCTCTGTTTCTTGAACTCAGATTACCTCATCACTTTCTGAAACTGTTGTTATCAGTCATTTTAATTTTCAGTATACATTGTCTAGTTTGGTCAGAAATGCCATTCTAATACTTTTTACCAATTAATATTTTACTTTAATTTCTCATTAATCTAAGAATTTGAACTAGAGCTTTTTTCTAATAAAAGTACCCATGGCAACTACTAACTATCCTATTAAAAATATTTAGCTATAAAAAAATATAAAGGGACCCTTAAGTTTGAAAAATTTGCATATCTGATTATTCTTGGAGCTTGTCTGAAGAGAACATACTATGCCTGCATAAGGTACTTTATTGGATTATAAAAATGAATTTTAGAATCAAGTAAATGGTTGCCTATGTAGTTTATTATTTTTCTTAATGAAGTGCTGAGTTAATTTATCTTAATTTGTAAATCTTGAGTGTATTGGGATGTGGTTTGCTTGATAAGTAGAAATATGAGTATAATCTTCAATTATGTTTCCTTGAAATTAAGATTGTTATAGGGCATTTTCTGTTTCAACATTAAAGCTGTTTTTTGCAGATGTGAACTGGGGTTCCTCAACTCAAGCTTTGACTTATCTGAATGCTTTGCAGCATGCTGTCCGCCTTACTGGTGTGGAAGACCATGTAAAAAACTTCAGGTAACTTGGGAAATATTAATCAGCATATTGCTAGACTTGAAGTATAAGAACAGCAGTCTGGGGAGAAAAAACTAATATTTTTGAAGTCAGATGTTTGGAAAATTAGGTTCAGTTGACTGACACTGAATTGGAATGCTCAAAATGTGTCACTGTTGGTATTGGGTGGTTATAGAAATGATAATAGCCTTATTGATCTTGTATATTAGTGTGTGTTTACCATTTGCCTTCAGATCTTTTAAAATGACTTGATTGGTGATATGGTAAATATGGTTTGAAATATGCATAGATTTCAGAATTCATTTAATGTACTTCCCTATTGCTGATTTGGACTAAGTGTTCCTCTGACAAAACATATAGGTGGCTAGTTTCTAGCTTCACTATGTGGTATTTTTATGGATAGCAGAAGAAGAATTTTGAAATTTATGCATTGTTTTTATTAATTACAATCTCCTAGTGCTAGTAACACCAGCCAATGTGCAGCAAAAGTTCATAAATCAGTTTTTATATGCAGCTGGGAATGAGATATTTTTTCTGTGGGGAACTTGCTTAAATAGTAGTTGATAGCTTAATGATAACATCAAAATATTATTTAGTTCTCCTATCACAATATGTCCTTGGGTTGTATTGTCTCCTTAGTTTTGATGTTCTTCAGCCTAGTCTCTGATCAATAGATTAGGTCAGAATCTGTGCCTTTATTTTAGTAAATGTATGTGCAGACCATTTTTTCCTCATTTGGACAACATTCAAGGTCAGTATAAGGGAGTCTTGATATTACAAATGAATAACAAGTGGTGATTCCAGTTACATGAAAAACATGGTGCTAATTCCATATTGGTTTCATGTGCATACTGCTTAATGGCAACATTTTAACAACAATTCAGTTTGGATTGCAAAAATGTACATGTTAACTGTTTGAATCTAAAATTAGGCCACAATGCCTTGTCATGAGTGGTGCTCCAAGCTCACGTCCAGCTTTGCTTCATCTGGTCCATGCCTTCACCAAAAATGTAGGATTGATGATCTGTGGTCACGTACATATGGTAAGTTTCTAAATAATTGGCTATACTATATATATATATAATTTCTTATATAATTTCTGTCCTGTTCTAATTTTTCCCTTTCCCCCATTTATATAGAAGTCTATCTAAGATAATGCAAATTCCATGAAATAGAAGAACTGAAATAAAAGAAAACAATGATATTTTAGTTACCAGTATCAAATATTTGTTTAATCGTTTTAACTTTAAAACCGATAGCACATCCTGATTCTTAATAATCATAAAGGAGGTAAAGGTAAAGATGAACAGATTATCTTCCTTTCAGATAATTGCTTTTTTTTTGGTAATGTTATTACAATGACCATTCAAAGAATACTATTTGTCAGCTGTCCTCTGCCTGCTGCCGATAAACTCCAGACACAGAAGTAACAAGTGACCAGCAAACTTTAATGCAAAGAAAAAGTCAGCACTGGGAGTGAACTGCTCCCAGCGCTTTACATAGACGTGCCCCGCCCACCAACCCCACCCCAATCAGCAAGCCAGCATCTGGTCCGTATGGATAAAAAGCGTAGTTCAATGTCCTCTTTCCCCCCCTCCAGACGCACCAACGCAGCCTCCGCTATTCCAGCTGTTCTATCAGGCAACCAGGCAGCATCCTCATCCTCTCCTGTCAGTCGTCTCTCCCACCAATCCCTCAAAGGAGCCCTGTGGGCTGGTGTAGCCACCCGTCCGGGCTCCGGATTGGCCAATGCAGGGCTGTGCCACCATTCCCCCAACACTGCAGGAGCCACAGCACCCTGGGTCTCACCTGCGTGGGGCTGCAGGCTGTGGTTCCACCACCTTGGGCCTAACTACTGGCTGCACCTCCTGGGCGTCAGGTTCAGGCCGTTGCTCCAGTCTGGTCGGCCTCTTCTGCCACCGGAGAAGTCTCCTGTCTGCCCTCTGCCATCTCAGTAGAAGTCAAATGCCCAGCCAGTTGTGGGGACGTCTCCACCATCCATTTCCTTGGAGGGAGGCACCCGCGGCGTCTGGCGGCCTCACCAACTCCCAGCTGATTTCCAGGAGCTGGGCCGACATGCGGAGGCTGGGCCAACTCCCAGCTGTTTTTCGGGAGTTGGGAGGCGCATGGCGAGTCCGCCGACTCCCAGCCGAAGTTTGCATGCTGGGCCGACTCCCAGCTGGCTGTCAGGAGCCGGGTGGTGTGTAGCGGACCCGCCGGCTCCCCACCAACGTCTGGATGCCAACCCGACTCCCAGCTGACTGTCGGGAGTTGGGCGGTGCTTATGGCCCCCCTGCGAACGTCAGCTGGCTGCTGGCTGCGTCCTCCCCGTGTCCCCCCAGGGGCTTGACACTATTGATATAAAGATCTTGTCAGTCAGTGTTACAATTAACATCTGTAATATGATACAAGTTTATAATATTAGTTCAGGATATGGGCTGAATTCAGTTTTTATTAAGTTCCTTTGCTGCCGGAGGTTACAATTTAATAGTGTGTCATAAAACACTAACATTTTATTAAAAGTTTTGCATGTTGCCCATTCTTATATTATTTTTGTAAAATCAGTTATTGCTTGTATAGGGAGTAATGTTTGTTTTATGTAAGTTTTATAATGTTGTGATTGGCTGAATACAAGCATGCAGATAAGATGTGTTCTTGGAGAATGAAATTTGTTTTTTAGCTACTGAAGAATAATTTGACAAGCCTAGTCTATCTAATATTCAGATATCACAGTACACAGAAATACTTGAAATGCAGAAGGTTTTAGGTATGCAGTTTCTGCATGAATTATATAAAGATCACCATATATATGTTACCCATTCGTAGGGCATGTGAGATTTCTAAATTGAGAGTAATTATCAGTAAAGGGATTTTTTTGTAGTTTGGCTTTTGTGTTAAAAAGGAATACTAATTTCTGGTTCATAGTTTCTTCCACTATACTCTGTTCTAATTAATTTGTTTAAGATATTTTTTATCTAATCTAAGCAATATCATATATTTTGATAGAGCAGTACATGGCCTTCAATGAGGAATGCACTTTTAAATTTCTTCCAAAATTTTTGATAATTCTTTTAGGGTCCCCGCAGGCAAGCCATGAAGGAATTGTTAGCTGACTTGGCTAGGTACCAACGGTGGCTTATTAAAAACAAAATGAAAGCGTTTTATGCTCCAGTACATGCAGAAGACCTGAGAGATGGTGCACAGTACTTAATGCAAGTAGGTGGTCTTTCTAAAATGGAGTTTTCTCTTTTGTAATTCTTTTCTGAAAATATAATTTGTATATATAACATACATCCTGTAAGATGGGAAGGCTTTATAAAATTGTCCAATAAATAAATTCTGTTTATAAATAAATATTATCTAAACATGTTTTAGAATTACATCATAGGAAAAGTGATATCCAGAAAATAAAAATGGTCAGGAATAGGTGAATGCTGTTTCTTGTATATCAGGAATTGAAGCTTGCCTGTTTTTCATGTATTGGACATAGATATTCTTTTGGTTTTGACTATCAAAAAGTAGAGGGAAGGAAACTAACAGCTGGATCGCAATTCACTGTCTCTCATTTGCTGGAGACCATTCTAAAAATTGATACAGTTTATAGAGCTCCTCCTTCTACTCTGCTGTATTATTGAAAGGTACAGGTACTCAAGAAAGTCATGTCTCTTCATTAGACAGAGACATGACAATATATTTGAAGTAAGTCTTAAAGCTATAAAATTCTGTGTGCTCTTATAAGATGACAAGACCACTCTCCTTCCTTTCAGAAAGAATTTTATCCAGAATAGAATGAAAAATATTAGGTCTCTGAACAGAGATAATTCTGTTGGATTCCTTTACCTTTATAATTGTATCCACTTTTCTGAATTTCATTAGCAAGATTTAGAGCAGGGGTGTCAAACTGCCGGCCCGTGGACCAGTTGCATCATACAGAGGCCGCACCTACCCCAGCTCCGGCAATGCAAAAAAAGTTGCGATATGTCGCGACATGTCATGTGACACGGCAAGTTTGACATCCGTGATTTAGAGGGTGGCTGAGTGATATCAGGAAAACAACTGCGAACCCTGCACCAAAAGTACATGATTTCAGTAGGAAGATCTCTTTACAGCCTATTCTGTTTGTGTTTACTGAAATTAGGTATGGGAGAAATGCTACTATTCTTATGCTACCCATAGCCACTCTCATGGAGTACCTTTGAGTGACATAGTGACTTCAAAAAGTATGAGAATGTGGATAAAAATATTGATTAAATGTAATGGTACATTATATATAGGTAGATGGATTACTTATGATATTAAGAATTTTATGCTGGTCTATTAAAAATCTTGGAAGAGTTTTGAAGACATTAACCTAGGCTTTGAGGAGATATATGCTATCTAAGACCATAGATAGTACATATCAACATTAATATCATGTTGTAGATCTTCAGTAAAAAGCAACAAAAATGCTCAAATCAATAGTTAGCGAGAAATTGCTCCAAAATGAGAAGGGTCCTTTGGTTCTAACAGAGGACATGGTGATCCAGATGCTAACCTAGTCAGTGCTGTGACATAGAAAGTCACATGTTTGAGCTTAAATTTGCTTACAAGGTTAGTTTTTACTTCATTCCTCATCTTGAGGTATTTAGAAGGTTTCTAAATTTCAGCCAAAATTGTCCAATGATTCCCAGTAAAATACAGGACTAGGTAGGGTAGAAAAATTCCACTGTTTTTATCTAATCTAAATAAAGCAAAGTTTAAAGGTAGGCATACCCTTCCAAAGTGTTGTATATACTTTTTTTCTAGGCTGCAGGCTTAGGAAGAATGAGGCCAAATATTCTTGTTGCTGGATTCAAGAAGGATTGGCAGTCAGCTGATATGAATGATGTTGACATCTACATCAATTTATTACAGTAAGTAATAGTGATTAAGATATTGTTCTTGTAACTGAATATCTATACTTACCAATTTATCAGAGTTTTCAGAAGAATTATAAACAGCTTTTTTCTGCTAATATATTCTGAAATTGTGGGTAGTAAGTCAGTACAATACTGCCTTATAAACTGATCTAGGCATATTAATGGTTCTGTAGTAGATCTCATATTTCATTCAGAGTCTTTTTGATCATATGTGGGGAGAGTAAGTGCTTTTTTCGCCACTCTCCTGTTGTGAATGTTCTGAGATTTCAATAAAACAGGATCCTAGATTGTACTGACAACTGTACATACAGTTGCCATACAGCTTTTTTGTTTTATAGGATAACCCTTGGAGACATTTCCTTTATTGATCAAACTTGCTTATCCTTTCAGATTAATTGTACTAATTAGCCAATTATGAATGCTTATTAGTTGACCCACTTCATTTTATTACAGTGATGCTTTCGACTTTCAGTATGGAGTGGTTGTCATCCGTCTGAGGGAAGGTTTGGATATATCTCATCTTCAGGGACAAGGTAATCCTTAATATGACCTGGGATTTTCATAGTATTAGATTTATATCCTTCATTTACAACAACAGCAACCACTCTTCTGATTTTCTCTGTACTGTAATAGATAGATATTATTGTAATGTCTGCATCAGACGCTTGAAAACCTGAGGGGAAAAACAAACCCAGCTCCTTATAACATTCTGTTAGTAGCACTGTACTTAATCCTTTTGTCTGCCCACTATAGGCAGTTTTCAGTTCTATTTCATTCTTGAACATTGTATCACAGCCTCTGATGGTGGCTTCTTGGGAGTTTTGCCTTTTCTTTTAGCTAAAAATGATAAGGATAAGAAACATTTTTAAAAAGATCTTTCTTTCCATAATCACACATTTTTGGCACTAGTGAGTTCATTACTTATTAGCCCGGAGCTACTGTTTCTTCCGCTGCATCTTCTCCAGCTTTTTATTGGCAATTTCTATTGATTTCATTTCTGCCATCCATCATTGCTAGTTTGATAAACTTGGCTCCAAGAATTAAGAGCATGAAATTTGTGCTACCTTCCCCTCCCCCCCAACCCCCCCCCCATCTCTCAGGTTGAAAATAAATTACCTCTGTAACAGTAATCCCAGGTTCAGCATGGAGATTATTGCATCTCCAGTGATCAAATATTTCATCAGACTTTATTTACAAAATATTATTGAAATATTTTGCATCAAGATATGCATCAATGGTGTTCCTTTTTTACAACAGTAAAACAATGAAAAAAGTATAAACATAACAGCAAAATAATAGAACAATAGAAAAAACAATGAGAATATAGCAATATGAAAATAGAGAATGGGTGGGTAGGAAAGCAGGGAGTGTGGGGGGCGATGGGGTTTGCTATCAATTTAGCAGCCACCTCCAGTGTGGATATAAGTTACTTATATATTGTATATAATTAATCTTATATAAGCATTATCTGCTTAATCTAGTCAGGACTAAGCAGTTATTTCAGTCTTTGGTTCAGTGCAGTGGACTATAACATGGAATGCTTACCAGTCATTAAAACCTTACTTACCCCAGATTATTAGTTGGATTCTGCTAATAAGCATACTCCTGGGGTATTCAGAAGCATAGACACCTATGGCCATTTTGATCTTAGCAACATTTCTAAGAGGAGTTAGAAATGCTTGACAAAAGGCCTTTACCGGTTTCACTACTATAAACCAATATGGGATTTAAGAAAAGGTCACTGCCAGTTTATAAGAAGTGCACAGTTTTGGGTGCCCTTCGTTTATCCATATTACATTGTACTAGCTCCTAGTTCTTTTCTGTATGTATCTCAAAGTCCTGGCTATGACCTTTAAAGCGCTGCATGGCACAGGATCCAGTTATTTCCAAAACAGAATCTCCCCAATAGTATCTGCCTATTCCACCAGATGCAGATCCTTCACCTTAAACATGGTCCCCCAGTGAGTCCTAGAAACTCTGCCTTTTCTACAGTGGCATCAACCTTGTCCCCATGATCCAGCATGCCCTAATTCTCTTAGCAGAAGCCCTTAAAAAACTGGTTGTTCCCTCGAGTGTTGGATAAGGTAAGACTGGACTACTAATTGTTAATGGATTGAAAAGCACTATTTATGGTTCTCAAACCTATTTTTTTGGAACATTCATTTTATTGGTTTTGATTTTTATTGTTTTGTGAACCACCCAGAGCTGTGACACATAAGGTGGGCCTCCCTGCCAGTCTTTTGAATTAAATAAATAAAATAAAAGACATAAACAAGTGATAAAGTCAGCAAACCGTATCAAACTGAAATTTTGTCCACTGCATGTAAAGTCCCCTAAATGGGTGTCCATAAAATTTTGATTTTACTATGCAGTAACAGCATTACACTATTATAATGGGTATCAGAAAAAGCAGTAAGATGGATCTGATTTTCTATACTTCAGAATACATTTCTAATAGAAGTCTACCTCTCTAGTTTTGACAAGAAATTTCTTCAGTTGAAATCAAACTCCTTCATACGAATTGATGTTTCACCTAACTCTACTTTGTGATCTTTTTCTGTTTTTTGAGAATTTCAGCCATCATCTTAACTGTCTCAGCAATAAAAACGTAAAAGTCCAGATTCTGTAGCAAAGTAGGCAATAAATATATCATTCAGGGACATGGATGCACAACTGCAATGGGCCACACTCTTAATATACTTTTCCTTCAGTGTTATTACAAACATTTTCAGAGTATTCTTAGATCCCTTAGCCCTTTGTATCTGGTCACACTGTCACAGCTGAAGCAGCTGTGATTCTCAATCTACTTGTTATTTCTAAAGAACTCATTGTGCTTTCCAGCTAGAGATAGTCTTCTGACACAGAATAAGGCTGATTGCATAATTTAGCTCAGCATTCTCTTTGTCTGGTAACCTGGTTCTTTTCTAGCAGATATTTTCAGTAGATTTAGGAAATTTCCTAGAAACAGTATATAAACCTTCACTTGAAAAAACTATGGTTATTAATTGAATTCCTTAAGTGGAATTAATATACATGCTTGCTAACTATTACTGAGAAGTTTTTCTGTTTTTAATTTAAAGTTCTATACTTCATTTCATTAAAGTATATTTACTGCTCTTTCTGGTGTACCAGTCTCAAATTGCAATTCAGTCTCTTTCTCCTCGGATCTGAAGTCTTTAAGGATTTTCTAGTTGTCTTTCGTTTTTACATTTCTTACAGGTAGTCCTTGTTTAGCCACTACAGTTGGGATCAGCAACTTGGTTGTTAAGTAAAATGGTCACTAAATGAAAAACAACTGTGCTTAAGACCTGAAAAGATTGTAAGCACAAGGATTGGTCATACATTTTCTTTTCATCTCCCTCATAATTCTGGTTTCTAAATGAAGCAGTTGCTAAATGAGAATTACTTATATTTCAGATTGATTATTATGATGCACTTGTGGCAACCACCAGAAGCATGGACAGTTGCCCCAGCGTTACAAGCAGAGCTTTAGTACTGACTATCATTTCTTTATCTATTCAGAAGACTAACATAACTGTGACTGATACTTCCATTTTATCTAAGCTAGTTTACAAGTTCTACTTAGTTAATTGTCTCATCCACCCTTGGACTTCTCTAGGCCAGGGTTCCCAAATCCCTGGTCCGCAGACTGGTACCAGTCCACAGCCTGTTAGGAACAGCCCATGCAAGTGAGCAAAGCTTCATCTGCACATGTGCAGGATCTAGGTAGTGCACGAAACCCCGGTCCCTGGTGCCCAAAAAGCTGTTCTAGGCTATCTTTTGGTAGGTTCAAAATCTTTTCTTTATTATGCAGATTCTGGTCAAAAGATTGGTCAGTCTTTAACTCTTCCCCAGAGGGCTAATACAATGTGATTGTCTTTGGTCATGGGAAACCTTTACTGAAATCCTAATACAGTTCTCTGCAAAGTGATCAGTGTCACTTTGCAGAGATTATCCATTATTGTTGATCTTAATATTTAAAGTACTATTATTCAAAGTAGTGTTTATTATTTTCAAAAAAAAATATTTTGGGATCTTGACAGATGTGAAGAGTTGGGGACACCTTCTTGTCTAATGTTGTGACATAACCATCTTTATATGCTTTATATACTCATAAATTGATGTTTGGAAAAATTATTTTACATCCATTCTTTTGTAGCCTGGACCATTGCCAGTGATACACTTGATAAATAATTATGCACTTATATAGAGACTATGAAGAATGAGGACAGATTATTTTCCTGTGATTTTAGCTCTTCAGTTATATCACATTTACACAACCAATCTTCATTCTCTTGTGCAAATGCTTCCTTGACAATTATTACTGTGCATTCTCAGCATGAACATTGAACATTTTTAGTTATAGAGTTATAGTGGAACACTAATGCAGAATCCCTTTGTGCAAAAGCTGACATTATTCCTGGAAAAATCATGGCTTCAAATAGCAACCTATTCTTGTATAAATAATCAGTCATATATATTTTATTATTCACAGAAGAATTATTGTCATCCCAAGAGAAATCACCAGTAACCAAAGATATTATAGTAAATGTGGACTACAGCAAGAAGACTGATATGGTAACTTCTAAACCTGTTAGTGAAAAAGGACCTATTCATAAAGGTAACTATGTATTTAGTACATGTATACTTCTTTTTTTTTCCTAGGAACTGAAGGTAGCAGGAACAGTTCTTTTCACAGAGATGTATGTGTGCATTTAGACATACATACACATAATTATTATTATACCAACCCTACAATATTGATTTGACTCCAAACAGTAACTGATCACAATGTCATAATTCTGTGGGTATTTGGGTATTTAAACCTAAGACTCCTTGTTATATAATGGAATAATTGTGCAGCTCTTTTATTAGTTATATATCTGATGAAGGGAATATGTAAAGTCTTTTCCTTCCTATTACATTTTGTTCCATATTGCAAAGTTTAAAACCAGTGAGAGTTTCTGAACTAGCAGTTCTCAGTTTAGTTGGTGCAGTGTGTTACTGAAGGTTATTCATTACAAATGATATGAATAAATAAAGCTTTTGGTACATTGAGGTACTGCATCAAAAGGGCTTCTGATACAATTATGGCACACTTGTTGACTATAGTGTGGATTAAACTTAACAGATAAATACATTGGCTCTGCCAAATCTAAAATATGTCCTTGTAGTCACTTGTAGACTTAGCCCGTTTTACATATTTGCCTAGTGGTAATGCTTGTCTTGGGTTAAATGTGACACTGATCATGGATTTTACTCATCTTCTTTCCATCTTAAGCTAATGTAGAATTTTAAAATCTATCAATATTTTCTCCCTGGATAAAAAGATTTTTGTGTGTATGTATGTTTGAATGCATGTGTGCATTCATATGTCTAGTGCAAAGAGAGAGGGATATTGTGGACATTGTTAGGACATGTGTACTAACATGTTTCTTTTTTTAAATAATGTAGTGGTATAAAGAAAATATGTGAATATGCTAATTAATAACATTCATGAGGGCATGTATTAATTCATATTCGATTTTTACCATTGAATGGTAAACAATTGTTCATTATCATTAATATTGCAAATAACCTTTTTTTCATTTTTTTGTTTACTTTTAAAACTTGTCCAGAAGAAGAAGAAGATATCAAGACTCCAACACAGCCACTTTTGAAAAAAGGCAGGCCATTTTCCATCTTCTTTTGTTTAATCCATTTTCCCTTTCTGTCAGTGTCCATTTATTATTTCTTTCATATCTTATTTTGTATAGTGTTTATCACAAGTGGAAGTTAATAATTCAGACTTCCTCTAGAACTTGGGTGGATGTTTTGGCTATGACAGCTTTAGTATTGTTTTATGAATTTCAGTAATTTATTTATCTAAATCATTTTTAGCTGTGCTAAAAATATAAGGATAACATTACAATGTATGTCTTTCATTGCACCAAACAGCTGATAACAATGATGTTAATTATTTCAAGCCCTGACCAATTTGATGAGTGTTTCTCAAGCTTGGCAACTTTAAACTGGGTGGACTCTTAACTGGCTGCTTCAGGAATTCTGCAAAGTCCACACAGCTTAAAAGTGCCAACATCGAGAAACATTTAGATAGTGGAATCAAAAAGTGGTTGACCACTCATTTATACTCCCACTCCTCTTAGCAGCCACCTACCCGGCATATTGGGAGTTTCAAAGGCATCCAATGTGATGATATTATAAAAATTCAAGTGTGATATTAGGTCTGTATATTTTAGAACATATCTTCTTTATCTCTTATTTTTTTCTATTCCTTGTAAACCAGCTTCTGCATTTGAATGGAGATGGCTGATCGGATATTTTGGACTTCATTTTCTTCCAAATGTCACTTCTCAATTTTACAGATCCTAAGGGCCCGTCTGTTCCTCTGAACTTGGCTGATCAAAAGCTGCTTGATGCAAGTTCCCAATTTCAGAAAAAGCAAGGCAAAAATTACATTGATGTTTGGTGGCTCTTTGATGATGGGGGTAAGACATTTTTTTTAAAAAAAAACATTACAAGAAAATTAGAAATGTTATCTGGTATTTCCTTTTCCAACACTGGCTCTAAATTAAAATTGGGGTTTTTTTTCCCCCCTACAGGCTTAACACTTTTGATTCCATATCTTCTGACAACCAAGAAAAAATGGAAAGACTGCAAGATCAGGGTGTTCATTGGTGGAAAAATAAATAGAATTGACCATGACAGAAGAGCGTGAGTTTAATGAATTACAATATTTCTCTGGCTAAGATTATTTTTTCTATTTTAACCTAATCAATTAATCAAATCCAGTCAGTGCATTGATATATTTGTTATATTATTTATATTAAAATTCATAAATTGCTTTAGAGTAATCAGTGATGGTGCTCCAGTGAATGAAACGTTTTTATTTATATATGACTCCTGTGTTTTGTTGATTGCCTTCAAAGCACTTCAGCATTTATGAGGATTGTATATGAAACTGAAGTGGGATGAAGAACTAATTCAAATTACCTATTCTTTTACTGAATCATTAGATTTCTGACATATTAAAAAAACATCTCATGCAAAATATTTTATCCTAAACATTTCATAGCAAATAAAACTGGAAGAAATAATTTAGTCTAATCTCTGCACAGTGCAGAAATCTACTACAGGTAGCCCTTGACACATGATTGGTTGTTTAGCAACTGTTCGGATTACAGTGGACCTCCCCAGAGCCATTTACAACCCAGATTCAAAGTTCTGATGGCTCCCCAGTCACATATTGGGTGCTTCGCAACCATGCTTTATTTATGGCTGTTTACAGTGTCCTTTAGTCATGTGACTGTGATTACTGTGATTAATGGCGGGTTTTGCCAGTAGCTGGCAGTTACTTTCAGTTTACAGCAAAAAATGCTCATTGTGAACAATGGACTTGTTGAACAACCATGGCTATGCTCACTTAATGACCATGATGTTTGCTTTACAAACTCTGCATTTAATAACCACAAAAAATGTCATAAAATTAGGTGGGGATCACATGATGACCCACTTAACAACCGGCACTACCATAACTCAGCTCAGTTATAGTCATAAGTTGAGGACTACCTAAATCAACAATATCCTTAACAGGCCCATCCAGTTTCCGTTTAAATGCCTTCTGTGAAAGAGGATCCACTACTTCCAAGGCACTATACATTTCATTGTTGACTGTTCTACCATCAAGATTTTCTTCCTGATGTCCACCTGTGCCTTGTCATTTAAAGCCATTGCTGCTGCTTGTCTGCTGAAGCAGTTTTATTGTTCAGCCCTATTTCCTACAAGATGGCCTTTCAGAGACTTGTACACAACCATTAGAGTTCCCCATCACCTGCTCTTCAGGCTACCCGTACCCAGTACCTCTTAGCCTGTCTCATAATTTTTTTTATTGTGGCTGCTGTCCTCTGGAACCATTCCAGCTTATCAATATCCTTAAATTATGAATTTCAGAATTGGATGCAGTATTCTAAATTTCCACTGTTAATTACGGTCTCCTTTAACTTTCAGGATGGCAACATTACTTAGCAAATTTCGGATAGACTTTTCAGATATCATGGTCCTTGGTGATATCAATACAAAACCAAAGAAAGAAAAGTAAGTTGCACAGTAATTTCCAATATTAATTTCTATGTAATTTAAATGAGATATTACAATAATATTTAGATTCTACTGTAAAATGATTATACAATGAGGTTTCATTTTTAAAAATAATTTAAAATAATTATTAAGAAAAGCATAGATACTGGGTAAGAAATAGCTTTTACAGCTCATGGACTGAGTTGCTATTAAAAACAGAATCATTAAGTACTATATGAATGTCATGCTATTATTTAAATAGAATTTCCATGTGATAATTTATTTTATAGTTTTAAGTGCAGTACCTCAATAATGAAAATAATGTCTTAGTATGGTTTCTTAATTACCAAATAACCATTAATGCCATTTTCTCAGACCACAATCTGAAAAGAGATGGTAATATGGAAGACTACAGATAGTCCTTGCTTAACAGCTGTAATTGGGACTGGCAACTCCATCGATGACACAGTCATTAACTGAAGTATCACATGACCATGCCAAATGTACAATGTCAGATGCATTGCAAGATTAAATAAATGTAAGGACCCACCCCACTTTGCATCTTAAGAAGACAGAACTCTTGGAATAGCTCTTCCAACAGGAATCCTTTATTAAGAGAAAATGGTTGCAGGCATGCTAGACAGGACTTGGGGTTCAAGCTCTCCCATTCAAGGTTTTAAGGGGTTCCCCAGTAGTCCCACCCAATCAACCCCCCTTCCAGTGATAGTTTCAAGTATCACAATTCCATCCCCTTTCTTCTTCCGTCTGGATGGAGACTTCAGATAACTACATGAAAGGCAATTACTCTTCTTTGATATGTTAAAGCTTAGAGGCCACAATAAACACACATTCAGTCCTTTGAAGTGTGCTGAAGGAAGTGAGGGCCATAAAGCCCCTTTGCTCTCCCCCTTTTCTCCCTCTTATGTCAGAATCCAGAGAAGGCAGAATTGGGAGTTTCTATGTTTGATAATTAAAGATGAAATATAATTGGATTCTGACATCCGGCCCCTCTTAACAATAAGAGAGAACCACCTGAAAGAAAACACAAGTAAAAAATTTAGTTAGGCTTGTTAGGATACTCTGTGTGAAACTTCTTCAATAGCTTCGGGGCTCTGACGTGACGTTTATGGACCCACTCATTTTGTGAGGCAGGGAGGTGTTTCCAGGCAACTAGGTACTGAGTTGTTCCACAATATCTCCTAGAGTCAAGGATCTCTTTTATTTCGAAGTGTTTTGTTCCCCTCCCCATGATTGGAGTGGTGGGGGGGATTTTTGGCCGTAGAGGTGACTGTTGCTCTCTTTTCAGCAAGCTGCAATGAAAAATTGGGTGTATTTGCCTGAGGTTTTTGGGTAATTCTAATTCTACTGTTACTGGATTTATGATCCTTTTAATTGTAAAAGGTCCTATATATTTTGGTCCAAGTTTTTTACAGGGCTGTAGGGACTTTAGGTATTTTGTAGATAAGTACACCATTTCTCCTATAATGAATGGTGTAGGCTCAACCCTTTTTTATCGGCTTGTGCTTTGTATGCCCGCCTAGCTTCATCTAGTGATTTTCTGACTATTGGCCAGGTGTTTTGTAGGCTTTCCATCCATTCTTTCAGTGAAGGGATCGTTGGTTCTTTTGGGGTTAACTCTGGCATAGGGTTGAAACTTTGGCCGTTGGCTATTTGAAAAGGAGTGTAGCCTGTGCTGGAGTGGACTGCATTATTGTAGGCACCTTCTGCAAAAGGAAGTAAGTCCGTCCAATCACTCTGTTGGAAATTTAAAAAACATCTCAAATATTGCTCAAGTACCGACTGGCAGCGTTCCTCTTGTCCATCTGTCTGAGGGTGATGGCTAGATGTCAGTCCCTGAGTGGTCCCTAAGAGGGATAAAAATTCCTTCCAAAATGTAGACGTAAATTGCACTCCCCTATCAGAGATGATGCGTTGGGGTGCCCCGTGCAATCTGTAAAGGTGCTGGATAAAAAGTTTTGCTAAGGCCTTTGCAGTGGGAATTTTTTGGCAAGGGATAAAGTGCACCTGTTTGGAAAATAGGTCCGTGACTGTCCAGAAAACAGTATTCCCATTGCTTTCAGGCAATTCCACTATAAAATCCATGGCTATTTCCCTCCAGGGGGCTGAGGGACTTGCCACTGGTTGTAACAGCCCTGGCGATTTCCCTTGCAACCTCTTTGCTGATGCACAGGTTGGGCAGCTGGCAACATAACTTTCTATGTCCTTTTTTATTGATGGCCACCAAAATTGCCGTTTAATTAAGTGTAAAGTTTTTACAAATCCAAAATGCCCTGCTGATTTTGTGTCATGGCAAAGTGCATGAAAGTTAGTCTTTGAGTTGTTGGTATATATAACTTTTCCCCTACCCAAGGCAATCCGTCTCTCATTGTGCACACATGTTTGTTTTTCTGGAACCAATCATCTGTTTCCAAACTTTTTCTGAATTCAATCCCAGTTTGGCTGTCCAGGTGTGGTTTTATTTTGGCTTGGGTTCTGGTGGTTACTGGCGCTGCCAGTTGTGACTCTGCCATTATTGGTCTAGAGTCTGTGGTTCGTGCGCTGTTATAGTGGGGCATGCGAGAGAGTGCATCTGCCAGGAAGTTCTTTCTTCCTGGTAAATGTTTGAGCTTAAATTGGAATTGGTGAAAATGCTGGGACCAGCGGACTTGTTTGATTGGCGTTTCCTGGAAGTTTCAGGGCTTCTAGATTTTTGTATCAGTCATACCTGGAAGGGGAGTTTTGTTTCCTTCGAACTGTCGCCACGTGAGTACTGTCCACGTATCCCAGAAGCTCCTTCTCCCATACGCCGCGCTGTTATTCTGTATTTCCGTGAGTTTTCTTTAGATGTATTGCACAGGGTTGCAATACTGCAATCATCATTTTCTTGTAATAAGCACAGCCCCCCACTGCCACATCACTTGCATCTGCTGTATTATGAAGGGCTTGTCATATCTGGGTGCCTAGTACTGGTTCGCAGAACAAAGTCCTCTTTAGTCTCTCAACGCTGCTTGCACCATTGTTCCATGTTAGTGCTGGCTAGGTTTTACTGAGATGTTCCCATTAGTTTTTAGTAGGTATGGTGAGGGGCAAGGCTATCTGGGCAAATGAGGGGATGAATTGGCGGTAAAAGTTTGAAAAGCCCAGGAAACTTTGTAGTTGCTTTCTTGTGCGGGGTGGTGCCCAATTTAGTACTGCTTTGACCTTCTCTGGGTCCATTTCAATGCCCTGTGGGGATATGCGATAGCCTAGGTAGTCTATCCTTTCCTGGTGGAATTCGCATTTTGAGAGTTGGCATATAGGTGAGCGGCTCGCAGCTTCTTTAAAACCGCTCTGACAAGTTTGACGTGTTCTTCTTTTGTTTCAGTAAAGATAAGAATGTCGTCCAAGTAAACAAGGACCCCCTTAACATTGACCTCCCGTTAGAACTTCATTGATTAATTGCATAAAGACTGGCAGGGCCCCCTGTAAATCCAATGGCAAGCTTTGAATTGATAGCACCCCATTGGCATTTTAAAGCAGTCTTGCATTCGTCCGCTTCTTGATTGCTAGCGAGCGATAGTAAGCTTCCTTAAGTCTAGTTTAGAAAAAATTTTCCCCTTTCGATAGGTGTACAGCATGTCTTTCATGAGGTGCAAGCGGGTATAGGTTGCTTTCACTGATTGTATTCAGGGCCCTATAATCCACGCATAAACGTAAAGAGCCATCCTTCTTCTCTCTAAAAAGGACCAGGGCAGCCACTTTAGGCTTGGCTGGCTCAATAAAACCTCTCTCCAGGTTTTTTTTTATAAATCTTTCCATTTCCTCCTTCTCCTTTGGGCTCATGGAGTATAATCTGGGCTTCGGGAGTTTTGCCCCAGGCTTGAATTCAATGGTACAGTCGGTGGGTCGGTGGGGGGAGAGCTCATTCGCCCTCTCCTCACTGAAGACTTTAGCAAG